GACAGCGTCACGCCAAAACAGACGGATGAACGCAAAAGAACGGATAAAATGAACCGCGACTCGGGTTGGCCGGGCTGTTGCAGGTTACTTCCCAGGGATCCTAGGATAGTGCGAGTATAGCCACCCCCAGTCCCCACCATTCTGTAAAGGGCAAATCGGGCCAACGGATGCGAGCGGATGCGAGTCGAGCAAAATCGGTGACTCATTTTGTAACTAGGGGTCAGATGATAATATATATAATATATATATAATATATATATATATATATCGATATTTATATTTTTTGATTATGACATCCAACGTTGTATTTAATGTTTAGCTTGGCCACTCAGACAGCGTCACGCCAAAACAGACGGATGAACGCAAAAGAACGGAAAAAATGAACCGCGACTCGGGTTGGCCGGGCTGTTGCAGGTTACTTCCCAGGGATCCTAGGATAGTGCGAGTATAGCCACCCCCAGTCCCCACCATTCTGTAAAGGGCAAATCGAGCCAACGGATGCGAGCGGATGCGAGTCGAGCAAAATCGGTGACTCATTTTGTAACTAGGGGTCAGCTTGGACTGCCATTTTGTAGCAAAAACCTTCCTCGGTGAACGTTGGGTTCTGCCAACTTGTAAGAAGGGCACCTTGGGGACGCCGTTCTGTAGCTACAAAATAGGGCTCCCAACCCCTCGGGTCCAATCTGAACGGGGATCTTATATATATATATATATATATGCACATAAATAGACCCACACATATACAGTATATATATATATATATACATATGCACACAAAGATACAAACAAAACTGTGTATATATATATATACATACACATACATGCATACATACATACATCCATCCATACATACATTACATTACATTACGTTACGTTACGTTATGTTACATTACATGACATTACATACAGTCTTTACATACATTACATAACATTACATAACATTACATAACATTACATAACATTAAATAACATTACATTACGTTACGTTACGTTACGTTACATTACATGACATTACATACAGTCTTTACATACATTACATAACATTACATAACATTACATAACATTACATAACATTACATAACATTACATAACATTACATTACATAACATAACATTACATAACATTACATAACATTACATAACATTACATAACATTACATAACATTACATAACATTACATAACATTACATAACATTACATAACATTGCATAACATTGCATAACATTGCATAACATTGCATAACATTGCATAACATAACATTACATAACATTGCATAACATTGCATAACATTACATAACATTACATAACATTACATAACATTACATAACATTACATAACATTACATAACATTACATAACATTACATAACATTACATAACATTACATAACATTACATAACATTACATAACATTACATACATACATACATACATACATCCATACCTCCATAAATAGGACTGGAAATCAAATTCAATTGGGATTAAATCTGAATTTAATTCTTCTCTAGTTTCCAACCTACTGGGCATGTATCAGAAGAATTAAATTCGAGTTTAATCCTTTTCTCAGATGTCATTCTTCTGGCAGATGGTCTTTTCTGGCAGATGGCTGCTCAAGAGGATCGGCGGGGGCGGCGGCGCAAGCCATGGTCTCACGTGGCCACTGATGCGTTCTTGGCCGAGGAGACTCTGCCGCGAGGTGCGCAGCGGTGGCTGAAAGAGAAGAACATTCAGCACAGCACACTGACATCCACGACCTGTCAAGGCGCTGGCTGATGTTTGTGTTCTGGGGGCTGGTTGTTTGTCTACTTGCGGGGGTCCGCTTTTTGAGCTTTTCGGGGCTGAAAGGTGCAAATTCCGGACCCCCGCGGGTCGTAGTATGTGTGGATGAGTCCAGGGGTTCACTTTGGTTCCGGAGAAGGTTCCGCAGAACGTCTGCGAGGCTTTGTTGCGGGGGTCCGCTTTTTGAGCTTTTTTGGGGCTGAAAGGTCCAAATTCCGGACCCCCGCGGGTCGTAGTATCTGTGGATGATTCCAGGGGTTCACTTTGGTTCCGGAGAAGGTTCCGCAGAACGTCTGCGAGGCTTTGTTGCGGGGGCCCGCTTTTTGAGCTTTTCGGGGCTGAAAGGTCCAAATTCCGGACCCCCGCGGGTCGTAGTATCTGTGGATGATTCCAGGGGTTCACTTTGGTTCCGGAGAAGGTTCCGCAGAACGTCTGGGAGGCTTTGTTGCGGGGGCCCGCTTTTTGAGCTTTTCGGGGCTGAAAGGTCCAAATTCCGGACCCCCGCGGGTCGTAGTATCTGTGGATGATTCCAGGGGTTCACTTTGGTTCCGGAGAAGGTTCCGCAGAACGTCTGCAAGGCTTAGGCTTTGTTGCGGGGGTCCGCTTTTTGAGCTTTTCGGGGCTGAAAGGTCCAAATTCCGGACCCCCGCGGGTCGTAGTATCTGTGGATGATTCCAGGGGTTCACTTTGGTTCCGGAGAAGGTTCCGCAGAACGTCTGCGAGGCTTTATGATGAGTTATGTATCCAGCAAAAGGATTCCCACCATTTATTGGATGACCATGAACTACAATCTTTTGATCACATTTGACGTACACCTAAACAAATAGGTACATATAAATATAAATATACAATTATAAACACATGTATATAATAAATAAGACTGGAAATCCAAAAAGCTTTCAAGGTTCCGGAGGGTCCGCGGGTGCGTAGAGGAGCAGAGTCTTCTATGGTTAGTATGGATGCACTATATTACAAGATAATATATTAAAAATGTATTTTAGGCAGACGAGAAAAATAGTATCAAAACAATATATTACAAGTACAGGACAACAGTTTGCATCGTATCTTTCGTATTTTTTTCAGAGACAGGGGTTACGTATCGTGCCGTCTCGTTGGCACTGCCCCGCGCCTTCAATAGAGAAATTCAAAGGAAGGAGAGGGCAAGAAGGCAAGAGGGCAAGAGAGCAAGAAGGCAAGAGGGCAAGAAAGCAAAAGGCGAGGAGAAGATGTGAAGATGTGAGGATGTAAAAATGAATGGATGTGAAGGTGAGAAGATGTCAAGATGAGCAGATGTGGTGATGAGAGGAGATGAAGATGTGAGGATGTGAAGATGAGAAGATGTGAGGATGAGAAGATGTGAAGATCAGCAGATGTGAAGAAAAGAAGGTGAGGATGAGAAGATGTGAAGAAAAGAAGGTGAGGATGAGAAGATGTGAAGAATAGCAGATGTGAAGATGAGAGGGTGTGAAGATGTGAAGATGTGAAGATTGGAGATTTGAGGATGAGAAGATGTGAAAATGTCTTTATGAGAAGGTGTGAAAATGAGAAGATGTGAGAATGGGAAGATGTGAAGATGCGTAGATGTGAAGACGAGAGGGTGAGGATGAGAAGATGTGAAGATGAGCAGATGTGAATATGAGAGGGTGTGAAGATGTGAAGGGTGAAGATGAGAAGATGTGAGATGTGAGGATGTGAGGATGAGAAGATGTGAAGATGAGAAGATATCTTAGAAGGTGGTGAAGATGAGAAGATGTGAAGATGAGAAGTGTGAAAATGAGAAGATGTGAAGGTGTATGTGAAGATGTGAGGATGTGAAGATGAGAAGATGTCAGGATGTGAATATGTAAGATTTTAGGTTGGGTAAGATGTGAAGATGAGGAGATGTCTGCTGTCGGTCCGTCTGCTTAGCTAGCCAGCTGTCAGCTGTCTCTCTCTCTCTCTCTCTGGGTTCCTGCCTCCCTGTCTGTCCTGTCAATGTGCATTCTGGGGGGTCTGAAATTCCCGTCAAAATCCGTCCATGACAGGAATTAAATTTGAATTTAATTCCTTCTTGAAGGTCAGATGAAGAGCAGACACGTAGGAATTAAATTCGAATTTAATCCTTTTTTAAGGTCGATGAAGACCAGACACGTAGGAATTAAATTCGAATTTAATCCTTTTTTAAATTCGATTCCAAGCTTTTTTTCAATTCGATTTTCGGCCTCATCCGTGTGACATCCATACATCCATACATCCATCCATCCATCCATACATACATACATACATACATACATACATACATTACATGCATGCATGCATGCATACATGCATGCATGCATACATGCATACATGCATGCGTGTATGATGCATACATGCATGCATGCATACATGCATACATGCATACATGCATACATGCATACATCCATACATCCATACATCCATACATCCATACATCCATACATACATACATCCATACATACATCCATACATACATACATACATACACACACATACATACACACATACATACACACATACATACATACATACATACATACATACATACATACATACATACATACATAGATACATAGATACATAGACACGTAGATACGTAGATACGTAGATACGTAGATACATAGATGCATAGATGCATCGATGCATCGATACATCGATACATCGATACATCGATACATAAATACATCGATACATCGATACATAGATACATAGATACATAGATACATAGATACATAGATAGATAGATAGATAGATACATAGATAGATAGATAGGTAGATAGATAGATAGATACATACATACATGCATACATACATATGAACATATGGACACATGGACATATGGACATATGGACATATGGACATACATATGGACACGTTCTCATACACACACATATATGTATATATATATATATATAGATAGACATGATATAGATATGTACTTGTATGAATTCACATGTATATATGTATATATATATATACGTATATATAATTTTTTGCATATATATATATATACATTTACAATCCGTGAATGTATCCCAATACCATACTTTGTATTCACCACACACAAGAACTAAGTGACCAGTGAGGTCTTGTAAACTGCTCAGATTGTATTGTCTTGATGCCTGCATGACACATTCATTCCTTTTGAAAAGGAGGACTGGCCAGCTCATTGTTCTGAAAGGGGGGCCCAGTACACGTACAGTTGTCGATTCTGCTATTTAGCGCCTTATGCTATCCTTGAGCGTAATGATTGGTAAAGGAAGGGTTGCATGGGATACCTATGTCCGGCAGTGCGAGGCTGTTACTCGCGACACTCGCACCTTGGGAACCAATGTGCCGACGGTGTCAGGAGAATGGAGGGCTCGGACCGGACAACCACCGATTCAGAAAGGGGAAGGGGAAAGAACCAAGCAGAGGCGAATACATTGGCGTTACACCCGTCTCAAGAATCGCATCCGAAGGGGCAAGGTTTCAGCATGTGTTTGGGCCATGTGACCAATTCAATTTTGGCATCGAGGATAACCTTTTCAGTGTCCAATGTAATCATTAGTAATGCAACTTGGAACCTTTTGCCTGTTTGGAATGAGTTGCTGACCCTTACTTTCAGCATCTTTCAGCTATACAAACGAAACATGTTGATAATTATATGGGGATGGGTCAAAACCCTATCCCCCTGGTGAACATCAAAATAGCTGGTAAATGGATGTTCATCCCCCTAAAAATGGTATGTATAGGTATTGATCCATAGCCATATCTGGTTATCCACTTATCGATTACCATGCAAGGCATTAAGTCCCACCCACTCCTCTCTTTGAGTTGCCGCAGCCAGGAGGTGAACGCACTCAGGAGCAGCTTCAGCCAGTTGGGTTTCGCGATGTTTCGCAACACTTTTGTTTTTTACCTCCAAACATGACCCAACATGGTAATTATGTACAGTAATTGTCAGATGTCGAATCATAACTTAAACTTATAATACAATTTTCTACTGCGAATCCGGGATCCATACTTTATGTTGATGCAAGAAGAAACATGCTTTGTATTCTTTAGTATGTGCAAACAGTATTTGAACTCGCTGCTGATTTCACGAGTAGTAGGATTTATGCAATACGACAATCCATGTTGGGGCAGTGGGCAAGGGCCAAACTATGTGCTTCGTTGGTTTGCTTGTTAGTGGCCACCTGCAGACGCCAGACCCCTGAAATTGGTGTTTTGTGGTTTTATTTATTCGTTCTTTTACCTTCTCAGTCTTGGTGGTCCCCATGTCATGTGAGGAGGAAGCAACAGAAATTCCACTGCCGCAAAGGTCGTCAGGCCTGGTACTTACACGAATCTGAGTGAACACAGAGACGCATAGGCTTGACATGTCCGCGTTGGGTATTGATATGAATATATGGATGTATATGTATAATGATATGTATATATATATATATATGTATATATGTACATGCAAAACACAGATTTAGATATGTATAGGTACGCACGCAGGTACGTATATGATGACGTTTGCATCTGTGCTTTTGTCCATCTACCAATTGCCGGTTTCAATTGCCACCAGATCATCATGCTCAATGATTTCAATGAGTTTCCATCCGCATTTTCCAACCACTTGCTGGTTTCAAATCTTTTGCTTTTCTATTTTCCTCTAGGATGATTTCAGTATGCCCAAAAATCGTACTAGTCATTGCATCATTTTCCTATCTCTAAATCCCAAACTTTTGGTACATCATTTTCCCCTCAGAATTTGGAATTATTTAGGAAGATGGAATAATCTATTCATTGATGATTAATTATAGTGATTATCATACATTATTCTCCCATACATAATTAATTTTCCATCATTATTGGATCCATTATTCCACTTTATACATAAATTGTTCCACTATAGCTGGAAAATGCGGACTATTATGGAATATTTCATACAAAGTGGTCAACCTAGTGACAAAACCTCTCATTTGGGGATGGTTTATAGAACCCGTTTATGATGATTTTTGGGGTTTATTAGTTTTATGAAATTGGGTTTACCATTCCACTATCATACCTGAATTATTCCACTATACATGGAGAAAAGTATGGAATCCCATGGAATAATTCGTGTATAATCCCACTATCTCCCACTTTTTTTATCCAAATTCCTCCACTTTTCAGGTTCCCCCGGAGCCCAGTGAGCCCAGGCCCCCTGGTGTCCTCGGCTGTGGCTTCATCTGCCCTGGCGATGTCGCCTTCAGAGATGCCGGTGCCCCTTCCAATGGGGTGTTTTGGATCCACTTAGCCTCTGGGAGACATCCAAAAACCATCAAAAAACGATGGAAAATCACCATTTTCAATGGTAAAATCAAGAATTTTCATGGGAAAATCGATGGGATGATGGATGATCATGGTGAAAATAGTGGTTAGTGGATGGTGAATAATGGATAATACTGTAATGGTTGTAATAATGGTTAATGATATGATACGCTCTGGTAAACATACAAAAAACTATAGAACATCACCATTTTGAATAGGTAAATCATCTATAATAAATGGGTCATTTTCAATAGCAAACTGTTAGTCATTACCAGAGGGTATTCCAAGGATGGTTGACATGTTTTTACTGCTCAAAGATTCTGTGATAGATCCATATGGGGGTGTCTGAAAATGGGGTATACCCTCCGTTTAAGCTGTTTTTGTTGGAGAACTATGATGATAATCCATGGGAATTGGGGAAGACCCATGTCCAGACAAAACATGACAACACCATATATTTTTAAAAGGGGATGGCTCAAACACCATGTTTGTTCGACACCCATTTAACTGAAAGTCTTTGGGAATCTGAATGGGAAAATTGATAGTGTCAACATATGTCAACATAGGATTAATAGTAGACTTCCAGTTTTGATGCTTAGAATCTCATTGATTATCTGGGCCTTGCATGGATAGTCTAGTACTATCTTTTCCTATTTTTTGGGGATACAGACTAGCCAGCTAGAAAAGTATTTTTTTGGCATGTGCGCTTAGCAACAATGTCAACCCAGTCTACGGATACTGCGGATAACATATTAGCTTTCCGGGGTGCCCCCCGTATTGACATGGGGATAGAGTTGAGGATCATGTGGCAAATCCAAATGAAAACCCCCTGGTAGTTTTAACATAGCGAACTGGAAAATCTCTGAACATCACAATTTTTACCATTTTCAGGTCATTTATAAATGGTCTTTCGTCATGTCAACTTAGCAGAGAACATATGAACTTTCACTGCGAGATGGTTGAGACTTCCGATTTCTGGCTTGGAGGATGTTGTAGCAGTTCTTTCGGATCCAAAGATGGGGGAATTCGCCCCAATGTGTGGCATTTTTTGGTGGGAAAAACAGATTGGAGTTTCAAACCATGAGATAGAATCCTCAATTCATTTGGGGATCTCAACATGTGATTATCCAACGGTACATCCGGAATGTGGGTGATATTTTTGGTGGCAGTAAAATATATAATTGTTTGGGTTTTCCATATTGGAGGTGAAACAAGAACATTGCGTGGACTTTTCAGCTGGACATGCCAAGTATCGGGAGGCAACGTAGGGTTTTGACCTGAGCATTGAGCCAATTGAAGCGACTGGGGCTGTTCATGCTTTACAAGAAAATAGCCTCTGGTAATGACAAACACTTTGATATTATTGAACGTGGCCCATAGAAAGCGTTGATTTTCCCAGCTATAAAATGGTGATTTCCCATCGTTTCTTGATGTTTTTTGTATGTTTACCAGAGGGTATCATATCATTAACCATTATTATAACCATTATTATCCATTATTCACCATCCATTAACCACTATTTTCACCATGATCATCCATCATCCCATCGATTTTCCCATGAAACACTGGTTGACCACTTCCTTTCCAGTTTCATCCGAAACGGTGACAGGTTCCCACGGAACTTCCCACCACCAGTCCAATGGAAGAACCTGCGGTCGGGAGACCCGATTGGGTGGGGAGTTGGAAGCTTGCTGTGGCGAAATCAGGAGATTGATAGAGATCTGGGTTGATAGATGGATTTCAGCATATTTCGGCTATTGCGTTTTCAGCATTTTCTCTTTCTACTGATGCAACTGACAAGTATCGGAGGTAAGACCCAGCAAACTCAGGTTTCTACTGTATTTCCGTGGTCTCAAAGCACATCTTCGCCGGAGCAAATCAACCTTTTGGGTGGAAAATGCTGGACTACTCAAGTACATGTTGCCCCTGATGACTTCGGAACCCCCCGGTCATCCAAGAATCATCTTCATCCTGGAGAAAGAGCTGCATAAGTTGTTCACAATATATATAGTTTGATCCATCATTTACGGGACATGTTTTCTGTGTTTCTCCATCAAGCTGCTTTTCCAGAATTTTTGCTGCCATTCAAGCCAACCTCCCAGAGACCCAATCCACTTGGCAAAGGTGGGGGAGCCAACTCACTTGCCAGGCGAGGTGATGGCAGGGTTGCTGGAGTAGAAACAATAATACATATGATGACACATGCAAAAAAGAGCACATGGAGGTTTCCTAAAATGGGGGTACCCCCAAATCATCCATTTTAATAGGATTTTCCATTATAAACCATCCATTTTGGGGTACCCCAATATATGGAAACCCCTAAAAATGTCAAGCTCAGAATGCCCAGGAGATTTCACTCAATGGATTGGTGTTGGAGGGTATAGGAACATCTATAGGACATCCATAGGTATTTTCCCATATCTGGCTTTCGGTACATTTTCCCCAAGACTTGGCACCCATGGCCGCCTCTCCCGGGCAGGCATAGCCGATCCGACGAAGGAGGTGTGGCTGTGAATGGATATGATTTCTGGTTGGTGGTTTGGAACATTTTTATGTGACAAAATTGGTGATTTACCATAGAAATAGTTGATTTACCCATCAAAAATGGTGATTCTCCATAGTTAGGTGACAAATTACCAGAGGGTTGGAACATTTTTTGTTTTCCATGATATATGGGATGTCATCCTTCCCATTGATTTCATATTTTTTATTGATCCCCCCAAAAGGATGGATCCACACCACGAAAAATGTTTTTTGTTCTGGTTTGGTTCAAAGATGAAAAGGGGAACAGGAATCTGGAATCGTGCTGGCACGCAACGTCACAAGAACGAGGACAGTCTGTGCTTGGGCGATGGGCATTTAAAGCCTTTGGTTGATTTCTGGAGAATTTCCACAGGATGGTGCTCCCCCAGTTATAAGTTGGTTTATAAACACCATTAGACTATAGTTATCATACGTGTCCCTGAAGTGGTTTCCAGGCTGCTGCTCGGGGGTGCAGGCAAGCGGTGCCGTGGGCCCAAGTGTGAGCACCTCTGTGTGCCCCCTCTGCTTGCTTGCACCGCCCAGCAGCGGCCCGCCATGGCTTCCTGCGGTGTGCTCCTCCTTTGGGCGCTGCCCCGGCTAGTGGCTCTGTCCCTGCTCTCTTGCCCTCATCCTTTGCCAACCATCGGCCAGCCGACCTTTGCCCCTGGCGGCATACCATTGCCGGAACGTCGGCATCAACCACTCGGCCGAGCCAGTCACCATCAGCGGCGCCAGCTCACCTCCATCCTCTTGCAGGCATGGGCCTGCTCTGCGCTGCCCCTTGATCCAATGCTCCCTTCCATCCGCTGGCGCCTGCGCCGGGCTTGCTGGGTGCCCCGCCGAGGCCGTGGAAGGTTCCGCCGGCGACTACGCCGCCGCACTGGCTTCATCGGGATCTGTGTGGGGGAGGCATCAAATCCAGGGCCTCCAGCCCCTGGCACCCCTGTCGGCGGCGAGCGGCAACCAATGGTGGTTGATGCCTCTGGGCCAGGCCCGTGAGCGATCCCCGCCGGCAGCTCGCCGAACTGAGCGGGTTTTCTGCCCTGTTCCAGGGCGCCCCGCCGCTGCTTCGTCTGGCCGTGGCTGGACCTCCCACGCAGCCATGCGACCGCGCACCTCGAAGATCACGCCGCTGGCACTTTGGAAGGGGAAGTCCCACAGGCCTATCGGGCTCGCCATCACCTTGACCTGTGCTCGGTTTGTGGGGGGTTAGTGGCATCCCGCTTCAATGGTGCGCACCCACGCTGTCGGCCAGCAGCTCGCCGAGCTGTCGTGCCAGTCCCTGCCGCAGGCCTGGCACTGCCTGGGCCGTCCATTGAAGCCGTCTTCGCTGACCCCGCCCCAGTCCTCCGGCATGTCCCCAAAGCTGCGCGAGCCGCTTGGGCACAATGACTTTCTCGCGCCCTTGGGCAAGTGGCAGGCAACAACACCTTGCAAGCTCCCCAAGGCGCTGCTCCACCCTGCTCCGCGTGGAGGACGCCGGCACCGCCTCCAGGCCGCGCAGTTCACCCAGCGGCGCTGTGCCAGATGGCTGGCTGGTGAGCGCGAGGAACTTTGGGGAGACTTGCCCGGTCCTCGCCGTCGCCAGCCTCGGGACGATGACGAAGAGGCAGCGCAGGCTGCCAGGCAGGCCGGATGCTGTGCCTTGGCCGCTGAAGGGGAGCTCTCACGTGCCTGTGCTGCCCTGGAGTCTCCGCCACTCTTGGACAACACGACTGATGTTGTTTCCAAGCTGCAAGCCAAACACCCCCGCGCCGCCCCTGCCCACCCGGCTCTAGGGCTGCCTGCCTTAGCTGCTGTGGCCGAGCTGGCGGTGGAGGACGTCATCCAGGCCATCCGCTCCTTCAGCCGTGGGAGTGCCGCGGGCCCCACTGGCCTTCGAGGTGACCACCTTCGCGAGGCCCTCGCTTCCCTTCATGGAGACGAGATGGCTGTCCAGCTTGCCGATGTTGTGAAGCTGCTCGTCCGCGGAGAGGCGCTGGCCGAGATTGCGCCCCACCTTGCTGGAGCTTCCTTACACGCATTGCCGAAAGGGGTTGACGATGTGCGACCCATCGCGGTTGGGGAAGTTTTGCGGCGGCTGACTGCCAAGTGCCTTTGCTCCGACGTGCGCAACTCTGCCCGGGATCTTCTATGCCCTTTGCAAGTTGGGGTTGGCACTGAAGCAGTTGTCCACACTGCCCGACACTGGGCGCAGAGGCATGCAGGGCAGGCTGAACAGGTTCTCCTCCAAATTGATTTCAGCAATGCCTTCAACACGGTCGACCGGGCTTCTCTCCTCCGCGAGACTCGCCTCCGCTTGCCATGGCTTGTCCCGCTTGGGCAGAGTGGTGCTACGGTCTCCACTCGCGGCTGCTGTTCCAAGGCTCGCCTTTGAGTTCTGAAACCCGCTTGGCCCTTTGTTGTTCTCCTTAGCATTACAGCCGGCCCTCCAAGCTGCTGCCCGTGGAGGCCCTCCGGAACTTCGACCCTCCCTGGTGGTGGCTTACCTGGATGATGTGTACTTGGCTGGCTCATATCGTCAAGTCAGCGCAGGCTTGGTCCGCTTGACGGCGGGCGCACGCCAGGTCGGATTGCAAGTCAACCCCGCCAAATGCGAGCTTGTGGCGTGTGGAGGGGCCGCAGCCACTGTGGACATGAGCCTCTTCCCACCCGACATTCCCCTCAACCAAACCGGGACCTTCAGCCTTTTGGGGGCGCCCATTGGAGACGGTCGTTTCTGCAACCAGTTCACAACATCGGAGCGAGTTGCCAAAGCTTTGCCACTGCTAGACGCTTTGGCTGTCTTGCCGGATGCCCAAACTGCCCTCTTGCTCCTCCGCCACTGTGCCTCCCATTGTCGGATGGCTTACTCCATCAGAGTCACCCCTCCTGATGGGCTCGGCCCCTCCCTGGAAGCGTTTGACAATGCTGGTAGAGGCTGCCTCGAAGTGGCTTGCAGCGGGCCCCTCACTGTGCGGAAGCGTGGCTCCAAGCAACACTCTCCACTCGGTGTGGTGGGCTCGGGCTCCGCAGCGTGGCCCGGCACAGTGTCGCCGGCTACGCTGCTTCTTTGTGGGCTACTGCGCCACTGTGCAAAGATATGGATCCTGGCTACGACCCTGACTTCAATGCTGCTCTCAACCTGGTGAACATGGCCCTTCCGCCGGCCGACCACCTCCCGGTCCCAGCCCCGCAACCTGTCAGACAACAAGAGACCGTGTCGTGGCCCCTGCTCCTGGTCGGGAAGCCTTTCGGGCGCATCTTCAGCTCTTGCAGCAAGAAGGCGCGGGGGCGTCGCTCCATGCTCGCAAGCGCCGCCTTGGGGCTTCACGTGGTGACCCCGCTCTTTCGGACCATGGTTCGCTTGCGGCTTCGCTTGCCGGTGTCTGATTCTGACACCCCTTGCCCCCTCTGCGAGGGCACCTGTGACAGATTTGGTGACCATGCGCGCGTTTGTCCCTGATCGGGTCAAGCGGCACCATCCGCTCAGAAACATCTTGGCAGGGCGGGCAAAAACAGCAGGCCTTCAGCCCGAGGTTGAAAAGCCCAACCTCCTACCTCCACGCCCTGAACTTCAAGGTGGCCCAGAAGATGGGGAGCAACCCTGTGGCGGTGGTCGCCGGCCAGCCGATGTCTGGCTCCCCAACTGGCACCTACATGGTCCAGCTGCGTTCGACATTGCCGTCACTTCGGGCATGAGACAGAGTTTGTTCTGACAGATGGCAGCAGCGCATCTACAGACTATATGAAGCACGGAAATGCCAGCATCTAAGCCTAAGCACTTTGGAAGCCTGCACGAGTGAAGGGCTCCAGTTCGTCCCGCTCGTTGTTGAAGCGTGCGGTGGTGGCTGGGGGCCCATCGCTTTGAAAACCTAGCGCCTCCTTCAAACTTTGGGCATCGCGCTGCAGCGCGAAAACGCTAGAGCTGTCCAACGGCGCCTGGACTGATGGGTTCACTATCCGCTCTTCTTGCTCTTCTGACCACGTCTGAGCCAAGCCATCCCCTTGGTTTCACTTTCACCTTTGTTTCAGCTGTCAGCAGCTGGAGCGCGCGGATTGACTCGCGACCTCAGCCACTCTGCAAGATGCCTGTGGCTGTTTTGTTTCTTTTCTGATCAGCTCACGTGGGCCCGCTTGCCTTCTGGCTTTTGGGTCACGTATGCCCCCGCTCCGGCAGCTCGGTCTTCGGGGCCTCCATGTACATGCTAGGGCCCTGCAGCCAGTTCTGTTGAGAGTGCGTTTTCCTTTGTTGCATTGGCACTGCCCAGTGCAGCTTGAACCGAATCATTTTCACTCCAACTATTGTTTAGTGTTTAGTGAAGCAGTATCTATAGCTATATCTACCACAAACAATATAGTTAAGCCACTTATATCTGAACGCTATCTTGGGGGCCCCATCCTGCAGATTCAATTTGGATTATCACCGAATCGCGAATCCATGGTGTGAATCCAACTCCATGCAGGATCTTGGAATTGTATGGAATCTGTCTCAAAGTTTCGGAAGCCCATTCCACCTTTTCAATAGCGGAATGTTGATTTGATGAAATCCCATCACCCTAATATTTGACACCCCGTAAACGGAACAAATAGGTGTAAATCCTCCTAAACCATGGTTTCTTGTTGGGGGGGTGTTTAAACTTTCTCACATGACCTGTCAGGTGACCACCGATGAACCTCCTCTGTTAGTGCCAGGTAGGTGGCACCAACATGGGATGCTGCAATGGTTTTCTGGGCAATATCTGGAAGATCGTAATGGGGGTTCCATAAATGAGGGTGCCCCAAAATGGTTGGTGAATATTTGTGATTTGCGAATGATATCCGGGATAGCATCCAGCAAGATAGGGGGTTTCCTAGATTGGGGGTCCCCAGTCGTCACCATGGGTTAACCTAAGTCATGGTCATCCAAAACTTGGATGATTCGGGGTACCTCCTAAGTCCTGGACGGAAACTTCCATATTATTAGTGGAGGATTCATGAGGAATCACCCCATTTTGATTCACACAACTCACCATCAAAAGGTTGCTCTTCCAAGCCATGAGGTTCGATCCGCCTTACCAAAATGGGATCAGAATTTCCAAAAGTTATTCTGCCACAATTCACGAGTCATTTCGCTGACTGCAAGGTCTGCAGTCCTCAGCCTTTCTGGGTCCCGGCTCCTCTGCGGCCCCCGGGTCGCCCTCGGAGATGCCGGTAGCGTGGCAGGAAAGGGGCCACGGGGTGGTCAGGGGTGTCAGCTAAGGAAGGTGGCTGAATCCAAGAAATGGGTCGATTTCACCACATTTTCCCAGGAAATCTTATTCGTCTTATCAGATATGTAACGCTTAGACGTGGTTGCACTATCTTACACTATACATTTTTGTCTTCGGTGTCATTAGTGGAGGCAATCAACATGGGCACATCACCAATGAGAATGGATTTGTCATGATTTATCAGATTCTTTGATGCAGCAATGAAGTTAGACTTAGAATCATCACATTTTTATTCCAAACTTCCCAGGTGCCAACAGAGATGCCAACCAGTCCCGTGTCGGACTTGGGGGATGACACCGCCGGGAGTCCTCAGTTGTGATCGTTGCGACGGTGTTGACCTAACGGTGGTTAAACTGGGGCGAGTCTCCTGTTGACACTTTTGTTTAGTCGTGCATGTAGTGGCTAATATACATCATTTGCTGGTCAATTAATTCCCCAATTGTGTTTATTGGGTATATCCCCACGCTCGTCACTACCTATGACAAGGCTGGTCAACTGGCAGAGCATACTTACACCCAAAATATTGTATGTCATCCTTTTCGACTGCCATTCTGTCCGCGACTCATATATAATCCCAAATAATGCATAATACAATATACTTTGATTAATTATACATGACATATGCATATTTGGCCAGTGAAAAGCCACTCACCAGCCATGGGATTTTCAGCGAGGTGCCGACAGCACCGACGCGAGTGGAACCCACAGTACTAGGCCACCCGTGGGAGGGCAGCCGTGGCTCTGGTAAGCAAACACATGAGCAGTGTTCAAAACCCGTGTTGGTTGATGATTAGTTCGGGGATTATACTATATTATAAGTATATTGTACTACCCAATATATTGGGGATTCTAATAATCCAATAGGGAAATCCCTATTAACCAACCAGGATTTTAATGACGGGACTTTGAACACTGCTCACATGGCAATGGAAAATCACCCCATGTTTTTCAATGATTTCCCCATTGATCCGTTGATCCGTTGATCGGGAATTTCTGCTGTGTTTGATTACCGGAGGGTAGATCCACAAATTCTTTGTTTGTTTTGTACTGTCCATTTATTCTTGAAAGTTGATCATTTTGAGCCATACTAAGACTGCTGTCTTGTTTGGGTCTCACAAAAACTGAAGGTGTCAAAAGTGGAAAGACGATCATATCACTTATTTGCATCACTTATTTGCACAAATGGATATGTATACATGGATACTTCATGATATTTGAAAACATGTGTATGTAGTTTTCAGTGCAGCGGTATCTATTACATCTTCATAGCTTCTTCTTCCATGTGGAAGCCAATGGACTTACCGGTTATCTAAGCGCCTGGTTGGGGTCAGAAAGTGCCTGGACCAGCTTTGTTGGTGGGCAATCCAACTCATCCTCATCTCTGGGTGTTGTTGGATACCATTGGGTCATCCCAATTTCATGGAAAACACCCGCATCGCAAAATCTGTATCACCAATATCAACATCGGTACAAGGGTTGGTAAATGTCCACATTGTTGTATCCCAAACATCGATTCGCCCCACTACATGGGATCAGCACGTCCAAGAGTCACCCGTCATTTCGCTGACCGCGAGGTCTGCAGTCCTCAGCCTTTCTGGGTCCCGGCTCCTCTGCGGCCCCGGGGTCGCCCTCGGAGATGCCGGTAGCGCGGCAGGAAAGGGGTCACGGGGTGGTCAGTGGTGTCAGCTAAGGAAGGTGGCTGAATCCAAGAAATGGGTCGATTTCACCACATTTTCCCAGGAAATCTTATTCGTCTTATCAGATATGTAACGCTTAGACATGCTTACACTATCTTACACTATACATTTTTGTCTTCGGTGTCATTCGTGGAGGCAATCAGCATGGGCACATCACCAATGAGAATGGATTTGTCATGATTTATCAGATTCTTTGATGCAGCAATGAAGTTAGACTTAGAATCATCACATTTTTATTCCAAACTTCCCAGGTGCCAACAGAGATGCCAACCAGTCCCGTGTTGGACTTGGGGGATGACACCGCCGGGAGTCCTCAGTTGTGATCGTTGCGACGATGTTGACCTAACGGTGGTTAAACTGGGGTGAGTCTCCTGTTGACACTTTTGTTTGGTCGTGCATGTAGTGGCTAATATGCATCATTTGCTGGTCAATTAATTCCCCAATTGTGTTTATTGGGTATATCCCCACGCTCGTCACTACCTATGACAAGGCTGGTCAACTGGCAGAGCATACTTACACCCAAAATATTGTATGTCATCCTTTTCGACTGCCATTCTGTCATTTTCCATGCCCTGGGATGCTTTCATGCATTTTCATCATTTCCATTTGCAAAATAGGATTGGTCTGGTATCCATCCATCCATCCATCCATCCATCCATCCATCCATGCTTGCATCAATGCATAATATATAACCCCAAATAATGCATAATACAATATACTTTGATTAATTATACAAATTATACATGACATATGCATATTTGGCCAGTGAAAAGCCACTCACCAGCCATGGGATTTTCAGCGAGGTGCCGACAGCACCGACGCGAGTGGAACCCACAGTACTAGGCCACCCGTGGGAGGGCAGCCGTGGCTCTGGTAAGCAAACACATGAGCAGTGTTCAAAACCCGTGTTGGTTGATGATTAGTTCGGGGATTATACTATATTATAAGTATATTATACTACCCAATATATTGGGGATTCTAATAATCCAATAGGGAAATCCCTATTAACCAACCAGGATTTTAATGACGGGATTTTGAACACTGCTCACATGGCAATGGAAAATCTCCCCATGTTTTTCAATGATTTTCTCATTGATCCGTTGATCCGTTGATCGGGAATTTCTGCTGTGTTTGATTACCGGAGGGTAGATCCACACATTCTTTGTTTGTTTTGTACTGTCCATTTATTCTTGAAAGTTGATCATTTTGAGCCATACTAAGACTGCTGTCTTGTTTGGGTCTCACAAGAACTGAAGGTGTCAAAAGTGGAAAGACGATCATATCACTTGTTTGCACAAATGGATATGTATACATGGATACTTCATGATATTTGAAAACATGTGTATGTAGTTTTCAGTGCAGTGGTATCTATTTACATCTTCATAGCTTCTTCGTCCATGTGGAAGCCAATGGACTTACCGGTTATCTGAGCGCCCGGTTGGGGTCAGAAAGTGCTTGAACCAGCTTTGTTGGTGGGCAATCCAACTCATCCTCATCTCTGGGTGTTGTTGGATACCATTGGGTCATCCCAATTTCATGGAAAACACCCGCATCGCAAAATCTGTATCACCAATATCAACATCGGTACAAGGGTTGGTAAATGTCCACATTGTTGTATCCCAAACATCGATTCGCCCCACTACATGGGATCAGCATTTCCAAGAGTTATTCTGCCACAATTCACGAGTCATTTCGTTGACCGCGAGGTCTGCAGTCCTCAGCCTTTCTGGGTCCCGGCTCCTCTGCGGCCCCGGGGTCGCCCTCGGAGATGCCGGTAGCGCGGCAGGAAAGGGGCCACGGGCTGGTCAGGGGTGTCAGCTAAGGAAGGTGGCTGAATCCAAGAAATGGGTCGATTTCACCATATTTTCCCAGGAAATCTTATTCGTCTTTTTAGATATGGAACGCTTAGACATGATTACAGTACACTATCTTACACTATACATTTCTGTCTTCGGTGTCATTAGTGGAGGCAATCAACATGGGCACATCACCAATGAGAATGAATTTGTCATGATTTATCAGATTCTTTGATGCAGCAATGAAGTTAGAATCATCACATTCTTATTCCAAACTTCCCAGGTGCCAACAGAGATGCCAACCAGTCCCGTGTCGGACTTGGGGGATGACACCGCCGGGAGTCCTCAGTTGTGATCGTTGCGACGATGTTGACCTAATGGTGATTAAGCTGGGGTGAGTCTCCTGTTGACACTTTTGTTTAGTCGTGCATGTAGTGGCTAATATGCATCATTTGCTGGTCAATTAATTCCCCAATTGTGTTTATTGGGTATATCCCCACAATCGTCACTACCTATGACAAGGCTGGTCAACTGGCAGAGCATGCTTACACCCAAAATATTGTATGTCATCCTTTTCGATTCTGTCATTTTCCATCCCCTAAAAATTGGGATGCTTTCATATCTGTCATGCATTTTCATCATGTCCATTTGCACAAATAGGATTGGTCTGGTATCCATCCATCCATCCATCCATCCATCCATCCATGCTTGCATCAATGCATATAATAATATGAGTAACCAACAAAATTATTGTAATACTAATTTAGTTTTGCTTCGCCTTGGCCTTTCCGAGGTTCAACAAAACCTTCAAAACCGATAGGGGACGACCCTATACCGATACCCCATTTGTGATACCTCCGGGAAGACTGAAATCCTCACAACCGATAGGGGACGACCCTAATTGATTTGTGCATAGCATTAAATTTTACATATAAATTTGTCCGCTACTCATATATAATCCCAAATAATGCATAATACAATATACTTTGATTAATTATACAAATTATACATGATATATGCATATTTGGCCAGTGAAAAGCCACTCACCAGCCATGGGATTTTCAGCGAGGTGCCGACAGCACCGACGCGAGTGGAACCCACAGTACTAGGCCACCCGTGGGAGGGCAGCCGTGGCTGTAAGCAAACACATGAGCAGTGTCTGCAAAACCCGTGTTGGTTAATGATTAGTTCCGGGATTATACTATATTATACTACCCTTTATACATTGGGGATTCTAATAATCCAATAGGGAAATCCCGTTCTTAACCAACCAGGTTTTTCATGACGGGATTTTGAACACTGCTCACATGGCAATGGCATCACCCTATGTTTTTCAATGATTTTCCCATTGATCCGTTGATCCGTTGATCGGGAATTTCTGCTGTGTTTGATTACCGATAGATCCACAAATTCTTTGTTTGTGTTGTACTGTCCATTTATTCTTGCAGGTTGATCATTTTGAGCCATACTAAGACTGCTGTCTTGTTTGGGTCTCACAAAAACTGAAGGTGTCAAAAGTGGAAAGACGATCATATCACTTGTTTGCACAAATGGATATGTATACATGGATATTTCATGATATTTGAAAACATGTGTATGTAGTTTTCAGTGCAGTGGTATCTATTTACATCTTCATAGCTTCTTCTTCCATGTGGAAGCCAATGGACTTACCGGTTATCTGAGCGCCCGGTTGGGGTCAGAAAGTGCCTGGACCAGCTTTTTTGGTGGGCAATCCAACTCATCCTCATCTCTGGGTGTTGTTGGATACCATTGGGTCATCCCAATTTCATGGAAAACACCCGCATCGCAAAATCTGTATCACCAATATCAACATCGGTACAAGGGTTGGTAAATGTCCACATTGTTGTATTCCAAACATCGATTCACCCCACTACATGGGATCAGCATGTCCAAGAGTTATTCTGCCACAATTCACGAGTCATTTCGCTGACCGCGAGGTCTGCAGTCCTCAGCCTTTCTGGGTCCCGGCTCCTCTGCGGCCCCGGGGTCGCCCTCGGAGATGCCGGTAGCGCGGCAGGAAAGGGGCCACGGGGTGGTCAGGGGTGTCAGCTAAGGAAGGTGGCTGAATCCAAGAAATGGGTCGATTTCACCATATTTTCCCAGTAAATCTTATTCGTCTTTTTAGATATGTAACGCTTAGACATGCTTGCACTACCTTACACTATACATTTTTGTCTTCGGTGTCATTAGTGGAGGCAATCAACATGGGCACATCACCAATGAGAATGGATTTGTCATGATTTATCAGATTCTTTGATGCAGCAATGAAGTTAGAATCATCACATTCTTATTCCAAACTTCCCAGGTGCCAACAGAGATGCCAACCAGTCCCGTGTCGGACTTGGGGGATGACACCGCCGGGAGTCCTCAGTTGTGATCGTTGCGACGGTGTTGACCTAACGGTGATTAAACTGGGGTGAGTCTCCTGTTGACACTTTTGTTTAGTCGTGCATGTAGTGGCTAATATGCATCATTTGCTGGTCAATTAATTCCCCAATTGTGTTTATTGGGTATATCCCCACGCTCGTCACTACCTATGACAAGGCTGGTCAACTGGCAGAGCATACTTACACCCAAAATATTGTATGTCATTCTTTTCGACTGCCATTCTGCCCGCTACTCATATATAATCCCAAATAATGCATAATACAATATATTTTGATTAATTATACAAATTATACATGATATATGCATATTTGGCCAGTGAAAAGCCACTCACCAGCCATGGGATTTTCAGCGAGGTGCCGACAGCACCGACGCGAGTGGAACCCACAGTACTAGGCCACCCGTGGGAGGGCAGCCGTGGCTGTAAGCAAACACATGAGCAGTGGCTGCTAAACCCGTGTTGGTTGATGATTAGTTCGGGGATTATACTATATTATACTACCCTTTATATATTGGGGATTCTAATAATCCAATAGGGAAATCCCGTTCTTAACCAACCAGGTTTTTCATGACGGGATTTTGAACACTGCTCACATGGCAATGGAAAATCACCCTATGTTTTTCAATGATTTTCCCATTGATCCGTTGATCCGTTGATCGGGAATTTCTGCTGTGTTTGATTACCGATAGATCCACAAATTCTTTGTTTGTGTTGTACTGTCCATTTATTCTTGCAGGTTGATCATTTTGAGCCATACTAAGACTGCTGTCTTGTTTGGGTCTCACAAAAACTGAGGGTGTCAAAAGTGGAAAGACGATCATATCACTTATTTGCACAAATGGATATGTATACATGGATATTTCATGATATTTGAAAACATGTGTATGTAGTTTTCAGTGCAGTGGTATCTATTCAGATCTTCATAGCTTCTTCTTCCATGTGGAAGCCAATGGACTTACCGGTTATCTGAGCGCCCGGTTGGGGTCAGAAAGTGCCTGAACCAGCTTTTTTGGTGGGCAATCCAACTCATCCTCATCTCTGGGTGTTGTTGGATACCATTGGGTCATCCCAAATTCATGGAAAACACTCCCATTGGAATATCTGGGATGGTGAGGTGTCCATGTGCATTTTGATTGCGCAGGCTCGCACAAAATGTGGGTAACAGTTGTGGCTCTTCCGAAGGTTTGTTTTACTAGCTATGTTCATTTCGTGTGGCAGGTGTGGGACAGCCGGGGCATTTTGAGGCCTAAAACTTCGTTTTGCGTGACAGGTGTAGGACATCGGACACCAATTCATCCGTGTGTGGCAGGCGTGGGCCAAAATAAGAGATGGTTTTGGAGGTCATTTTGCATGGCAGGCGCAGTATTTGGTGAATTTGGCCCCATGGATGATTTTTTGAAAGGGTCGAATGTTTTCGAAAGTCTCGTTTCGTGAAACTGTCGTCATTTTTGATTTTGGACATGATGCTGATTCCGTGTGGCAGTTGCGGCACTTTGGATGCCTCGGGGTCATTTTTCGTTGCAGGCGCCGTCCTTTGTGACATTTGCAATGTTTTGTGAAAATCTAACATTTGCTCGTGCAACCATCTCGTGACCTTGTGCGTGCCTGATTGCTCTCGTTGTGGCGTGGTGCAAATTTTGATATCGCTCGCGCAATCCTCTCGTGACTTTGTGCCTGTCGGATGGTTCTCGTTGTGGCGCAGTCCGCATCTTGATATCGCTCGCGCAGCCTTCTCGTGACTTTGTCCGTGCCGGATGGCTCTCCTTGTGCCACGGTGCTGATTTTAGCTGATTCTCTTGGATCCTGGTAAGGAGATCTTCTGCGTTCTCTGGAATGTCCTTCTATGACGCTCTTGCAAGGGTTTCGTGTTGCATAATATATGAAGATCTTGACCAAGGTCTTGTAACGATCCTTGTGAGAAGATGTTGTGCAGATCCTGATGAAATCGTGCCGGGGGTGCGTGCATGATCTTGTACAGGTCCTTCCCAGATCCTGCTGACATCGAAGAGGTCCTTGCGTGATCTTGTGCATGTCCTTATGAGAAGATCTGGTGGAGATCCTGATGAATTCCTCTCTAAGAGGTCCATGCATGATCGCGTAGATGTCCTTAACAGAAGATCTTGGAGAGATCCTGGTGAGATCCTCTCTACGAGGTCCTTGCATGAAGATCTTGCAGATTCCATATCTTAGAGGTGCTTGTACAAAAAGCTCTTGTGGGAGGCTCTTGGGAGGTTCTTGCATCAAGATCTTGTAAGATCCACTCCAGCAGCAGCAGGTCCTTTTATGCCGATCCTGTGAGATTCTCTTAGTGGTCCTGGCATGAAGATCTTGGTCAAGGTCTTTCACAATTCCTTTTGAGGAGATCTTGCAGAGATCCTAGTGAAATGCGGTCAGAAGCCGTTGCATGATCTTGTACAGGTCCTTGTGAGAAGCTCTTGAAGAGGTCCTGGTGAAATCCTCTAGGTGTCCTTACATGATCTCGTATAGGCCCTTGTGAGAAGATCTTGTGGAGATCCTGTTGAAACCCTCCTCAATAGGTCCTTGCATTAAGATCTTAAAGATGCTGTGCATTGGTGCTTGTATGAAAGCTCTTCTGTGATGCTTATAGGAAGTTCTTTTATGAAGATCTTGCGAGATCCTCTTTATAGATCTAAATAGAAGGTCCTGCTGCTGCAGTTGCGATAGTGTCTGACCTCATCTGTTCGTGTATTTGTTACATTGACTTCCTCCCCGCACCGTCTTGGGCCTCACACCGGTGTAATTTTTTAGGGCCCCATCTGAAAATTGAAACAATAGGGTTCCACCTTAAATGGAGGCGGTGTGTCCAGATTTCAGGTTGGAAAAAGCATCAACCAAAGGTCCAGACCAGGGTGAACCGACCCACCGATATGAGGTGGAGTTCCTCCAACGGTCTCTTGTCATGTCAGTGTTTCAATGATGGGGATGTGGCAAACATAGATGCAGATTCACCACCTATCACATGGGCGTTTCTTCACATGGGGGGACCCCGAATCACCAACACCTGATCATTTTAATGGGAAAACATGGGTTTCGGGGTACTCAATGTTCAGAAACATCAACTTGATTCAATTTGTATATATTGTGATAATTATGTATGTAATACATACATATATATATATATGTATATAAAGTCATATGTATATATATATATATCATATTGATTTATTGAGGTGAAGCTGGTGAAACCTGATATGATATGATGTAGTAACATAACATGCATGTACATTATATAATATTATATACTTCATCATATTGAATATGTATATCACATCACGGCAATCACCAACAACTCGAAGCGATGGGGTGCATCTTGACACTCTGTTTGCATCGAAACGGGATATGGGTTTGTCTAAAAATGGATGTATACCCCCAAACTTGCAATCTTAAGAGGGAAAATGATGATTCATCAGTGGATCAAATGGGGATATGGATGGATATGGAGTATACAATTTTCAGGCACACGCAGCTCCCACACCGGGGTGTTTGATTCAACATGTCCGTCTGTGTTTGACCCATCTTCGGGATATCATTTCATCTTGTACATGGCCCCCAAAAACAGTTTGTAGTGAAGATTCTCAGTACCTGTAGCCTCCAGAAATGAACATGGTGGAAAATCCCAAGTCTCAATAGCGAAATATCCAAGAACCATACTTTTCCCAAGGTTGAATTACTGAAGACCCAAACCTCCCAACAGAGACACTCCCAGTGGTCACTGCGCTGAGGCGGACGTGGATGATGTCCCCGTACTTCCCGGAAGTTCAGGTGGGGACGTCAGGTTGGAAGCCAACATCGACATCGACTTGTCATAATCACTGGTATTAGTGGTATTTAGGAAGTGGTATATAATAAATTGGTACAATAGTGGTGAAAAAATTAGTGATACCAATCCCATTTAGAAAAACTTGGTATTAGTGGTTGTACTATCAATGGTTGGTATCACTGGTCATTAGGTGGGCCTACGGGGATTGACACCTCAGAAAAAAGAATGTTTCGCCCCCCAAATTGGCCAAGCCTCCGAAGCGACCCATGCACTGATTTACATTTAGACAAAAGGAATCCAACCAGGTCTTGCAAGAAGATTATATAGATCGATCCAAGGAACTTTAGTTGAGACAGTATCAAACCATTTGAAACTTGTGATGAACGCCGTGGTTGGTGCAACCATCCGGTGGTTTGTAGATTTGCTTCAGGGTCTTGTCGGATGATTCAATTCCACTATTTCCATTTATTTTCCAGTACTCGTAGTCTTATCATTATCATGAAGTGCCAAGAGATTTTATGATTCCCCCAGTTTCTTGTGAGTCTTGACGCCCCAAAGATTTTCGGCATTATTGGCATCCTCAGTTGATCATTAGATCCCATCAGCCAGGTGTGGTATCTTCAGTCGGAGCATCCTCGCCTACGGAAGCTGAGATCGCAGCCACGGGGCCTGATTAATTGTGGGCTGAAGCCAAGAGAGAGAGAGAGAGAGGTTGAGGTCATTCTCACAGTTTCTTACTTTCTCAACGATTGGTTTGTGAGTTTGACGGCAAAATTTGAAAGAAACCACCCCATACTATCATTATAATTCCTATCCACACTGTACTTGGTGGCACAGGCCAGCTTCCAACATGTTCATTCAAACCAAGCCAGTCATTGTTTGAGTTTCATTGATTTTCAAGAGAGCTTTGATGGTACATACCTATGACCCATGACACAGATGCCTGGGTGGAAAAAAACATGAGTTTTCGTCTAGTTTTTCCCTTAAACCAAACGGATTTGTTTCAAACACACATGAAACATAGCCCAAAATCCAATATGAGATACCATGATCAGTATTTGTCAATTTTGTCCATAGTTTCCCCAGGTTTTTCGGTTCCATCTCGAGATCACCGTAAAACTGGGAAACAAAGAGATCGTGAGGTGCCCACTGAGAAGCCCACGTCGCCCACATCGCCCATGGATGAGCATCCCCTCACGGAGGTTCACCAGTCGTCACCACGGGTTAAACTATATATACTAAAATATACGAAAATGGTCATCCATGACTTGGATGATTCGGGGGCACCTATATTTTAAGAACCCACCAAATTTAGATCTGGCAATCCAAGCTGGCAGTGGATATGTATATATAATTATATATATATATACACTCCAATCTTGTGAGAAGAAATTTTTATCTATAAATAGGATTTCGGATAATTTTTGAGGAACACAAGAATCGACAATCTAAGGATTTGCCATTGCATGTTTGATTGGTAAACCGCCCTAGGCTCGGGGCCCTTCGCCAGATGTCAGTATATAGGGACCACAAGCGATCCGCGAAAGTCCAGCTTCTTGGTGGTTTTAGGTGTCTGAAAATGGTTAGTACACCTCAAACTATGAACGTTGATAGGAAAAATGGGGTGCCCATGGGTGCCCGAGTTCCAGACATTTCCTGGACACACTGAGAATGTCTTGGGATGATGATCCCCAATGACGATTTTAGATCCTTTTCCATGTGGTTGAAACATGGTGACCACCAAAAGTCAATTTGATCGTTGTCCATTTGTGGCAATTCTTGAAAATTCCAATAACATCATGGCACCAAACCATTACCTACATTCCGCATGTGCTAAGCTGTTCTTCGATATTTTGGATCTCGTGCCCGGCCACTATTCATCCCTTGTGGTTCCACATATTTGGTATTCCTGCCCTCAAATGACGCATTTTTCACATCTTTTCACCCAAGGACCTTCCTACTACTACCTTCCTCCAATCCACATAGACCCTGAAAATCACCCATTTTACAGTACCCTTTGGTAATTTAACAGTTTGCTATTGAACATGGCCCATTGAGTTCGTTGATTTACCGTTTTTAAAGATGGTGATTGTCCAGTTCGCTGTGTAAACGTTTACTAGAGGGTAACCATCAAAAAAGGTGATTTAACCATTAACACTAGTGATTGAACCAGCAAATAGGAATCCAATCATCAACAAAGTGAAACAACCCAATTCTTCTCCCACCTCGTGGCAGGGTCTGAAAAAAAACCGCAGCAAGGTGCCCCATGTGCCAGAGGGACTGGGCCTTGCACCCGAGCCTTCAGCTGCGATGAGTCTGGGCCTTCTAGAATTTTAGAGGCACCACTTGACCAGAAGATTTCGCAGAATCCGTTAGCATGTGAAAATGGTTCCAACCCCATAGGATCCATGGTGCTGGTATATATGCTATATGCAAGCTAACATAAAGGTGGTATATTGATGGGATCCATGTTACCATATACAGTATAGCAGCACCATGGATCCTATGGGAACATGTTCCAACTTTCAGTGGAACCCTGAGCTTTGAGCATGTAACGAGATACCAGCTGAATCCGAGAGGACAGATTGGAATCCCACACGCCAGTGTGCATCCAGTGAATCCAGCGTTGGCCAAGAGCATCTGACACGCTACTGGTATCAGAGATCCTTTTTCCAGTCGCACTAGCAGCACTAGCAATGTCTTGGATGCAGACATTTCCGGGACAGCCTCGTCTTTGATTTTTGTCCTCTTATTGGATAATAAACATTAATAAACCAATATGATCAACCAATATATTCATAAACCAATATCCAATATCCCAATGATAATAAACTAATATCATATCATAATAAACAGCATGATAAACCCCATTCTTCACCCGTTCGAAAAATATGATCTACCGCTGTTTTTAAGGTGAATCCGCGCCCCCAGTGGATTCACCTGAAGCATTGCCGGTTTCGGAGACCCAGAGGGATAAAAACTGGGAGACTCCACAGAGTTTCCTGGGGGATCATTGTGCCAACTCACTAAAATTTGCAGGGTTAGTGGATGGTGAATAATGGATAATGGATGGTAATGGTTATAATAATGGTAATGGATAATGGATGGTCATGGTTATAATGGATGGTAATGGTTATAATAATGTTTTTTTTTGATATGATACCCTCTGGTCAACGGGCTAACAGATCGAACTGGAAAGATCCACCATTTTCAATGGGTAAATCCAATATAAATCACCATTTTCAATAGCTATGTTAAATTACCGGAGGGTAACTGGTGTCTATCTGCTAGAGAAAAACATTGCCGCAATTAGATCCTGCACATGCCAAGATCGTGACCTTCTGGATCCAAGTACCTGCTCAAATTCCTGCTGGGAAGCTAGGAAGCTACTCGATTCCCCAAAATGATGCCCTGAGTTATACTTTTCTTAAGAAGGCATGTCTATCCATGGGGCCTGTACAGATACATCTATCTATATATATATATATATCTGTATATATATATATATAGAGATATATTTCTGTACATATATATATTTCTGTATATATATATATGTATATATGCATATGTGTATATATATATGCATATGCATATATATATATATATACACATGTATGTATATATATACACATGTATGTATATATATATATATATATACATGTATGTATATATATATATAGATATATTTGTATATATATATATATCTGTATAATATATATATATAATAATGTAACCTATATATAAATAAATAAATATATATATATCTATGTATGCGCATATATACATACAACGTACATCACTCTATTTGCCCGATCTATCTTCTGTACTAGTATCTATTGTCTATCTATTTGTTTGTCCATCTAAGATCCGTCCATCCATTTATCCATCTCTGAACGTGTCAATCTCCCCATCTGTCCATTAATCTATCCATTTGTCTATCCACCTATCTAACCTATCTAACCTATCAAATCTATCTAACGTATCTAATCTATCTAGCCTATCTAATTTATCTAATCTATCTAATCCCTCTAACCTATCTAATCTATCTAATCTATCTAATCCGTCTAACCTATCTAATCTATCTATATAACCTATCTAATCTATCTAGTCTGTCTAACATATCTAATCTATCTGATCAATCTAATCTATCTAATCTAATCAAACCTAATCCAATCCAATCTAATCTTATCTTATCCGATCTTATCTTATCTTATCCTATCCTATCTAATCCTATCTAATCCTATCTAATCCTATCTAATCCTATCTAATCCTATCTAATCCTATCTAATCCTATCTAATCCTATCTAATCCTATCTAATCCTATCTAATCCTATCTAATCCTATCTAATCCTATCTAATACTTTCTAATCCTATCTAATCCTATCTAATCCTATCTAATCCTATCTAGTCCTATCTAATCCTATCTAATCCTATCTATCTATCTATCTATCTGTCTGTCTGTCTGTCTGTCTGTGTCTGTCTGTCTGTCTGTCTATCTAAAAGTATTTATCCATTTTGTGCAATTTGTACAATTTATCCAATTAATACAATTTACCTAATCTATGTAATACATCTAATCTACCTAATCCATCTAATTATCTAATCTATCTAATCTTTCTAATCTATCCTGTCTATCCTATCTGTTCATCTATCTCTCCCTCTATATGTATGTATGTATGTACATATATATATATATTTATAGATAGATAGATAGATAGATAGATAGGTAGGTAGATAGATATGTATATATATATATACATAGAATAAAGATGTACACACATATGAGTATGTACATTGTTTGAAAGGACGGTTTGAACAGAGGACTTTGCCAAGCTGATTCCAGGTGCCAACCGAGCTGCCTTCGCCCGCCACATCTGTGGTGGAGGGAACGCTTGAAACAATGGAGGTGGAGATGCGGGCTGAACATATTTTGATCAGCGGGTAAACATCAAACATTAGGATAGATAAATATAGATAAATATAATCCATCTAATAATCTAATCTCTCTCTCTCTAAATATATATATATATATATGTATATGTATATCTATTCAAACATGGTGGATTTAATCCGCAAACATGGTGGATTTTACCGCCACGCGGAGAGCGATTTCCGACTTGGCGCGTTCGACAGGCGCCCACGGCACCACCAGTGACGCAGCTTGCGCCGCCAGAACTGAATTTCAGCTCTGCAGTGATAGGCCGCGGCGGGAAACCATGGGGAATCCTTCGGGATGTCAATTTTTTAATTGTTAGTAAACAAACTATGGTTTCCCAAAGGATTTATATGTAACAACTGCCAAACTATGGTAATTTAGCAGTATCAACTTGAAATCATGGATTTATCATGTGAAAACCATGATGACATGTAAAAATCATGTATCCTCTGGTAGTTTAGCCGTTTCCTATGGAAAGTCACCATGAAGAATGTATGTTAATAGGTGAATGATCGAACTAAATTGGCAACTTTCCATGGCTATGCCAAATCACGGGAGGGCAATAATTGGTCATATATATATATATAGACACATACATATAGTATTATGATCATTAAATCATGAATACTATATGTCAAAATAAAATGGCCAGATGATAATAATGACATGATTATGTGTATATAATTTCGGGATTACATGGGGTTAGCCCGCTGCAAAGGGATAGTATACAGATTACAACCTCCAAAGAGGGCTAACCATTTAACCTTTGGTGATGGAACCTGGCAAGGGAAACTTGCCTAGTAGAGGATTTATGGTAGCTAACTTTCCTCTTAATATCAGGAGGTCCCATAGCATAGATATGCTTCCAAAGAGGTGTCAGAAAATGAGAGGGGATACAGGCAGGAGTGATTTTTGGTATACATATCCACAGTATGAACGTGAGCAGTGGGTTTCCACTTCTTATTGTCGCCATGGAAACATGGGCAGCAAATCTTGTGGCTCACAATCAGTATTGTCTTGGCCCCCATATCAATGCTCCAACCTGGTAGCCTTCCACTGATGAAGGATTCGAAGAGAAAACATGGTTTGTTAAAAGGGTAATTGTTGAGGAACAGGAAACCGTGACGCTCAAAGTTCTTAATGACCAACCCTTTGAAATTCAACATGAAGCCCAACACTGGCCAATGCTCCAATGGATCAACTGTTAATTGTTGCATGTCGCATAATATTCACCCTCTAGCAACATCGTTTGACCATGGACATTCCATTTTTTTACAGGAACCTCATCTGTAAGGCTTGATATTCAAATATGGCTGGAAAAGAGGCATTGAATTGAATGGGAAAATCAACCCAAAACTACTGGATATGATCATTTCAATTCACAGCGGCGTGAGCACCGTTGTGTTCGGAACGGCACCCTTGGGCCCACCTGTTGGGCGGATCTGAGATCTGGGTGTATCTCTATCATCCAGAAAATGCAACACTCATCCGGCCCAGAATGGGGCGATTTATGGAACATGTTTTGCCAACTCCCCACCACTTGACTCCATGAAAACCGCCCCATTATAGTTACATATTATCGAAGGAAAATTAGAAGTGAAACTTTCGACAATATGGACAGATGAAAAGCAGAGGTGTGAAGAGTCAGAGAAGAGAAGAGAACAAAAGAGAAGAAGAGAAGAAGAGAGAAGATCAGCGAAGAGAAGGAGTCAGAAGAAAGAAGACCTAGGTGCGCGAAAAGGAGGAAAGTCGCGAAACGCTGTGTTTTTTCTAATGATTTGTGGCTCCGGAGGGTCGAAAAGTAGGCTCGCTAAAGGTGGTGCCCGGAGCCATTTGGTTAGATGAGAGATGAAAAGTTGCACGCCGTTGTGGCACGAAGCACATTTGCAAGTGAAAAAGTTAAGAACACCGCACGTTCGGATCACTTTTGGAAGTTGAGCTGTCGAACAAGTGCACGCCGTTGTGGCGCAAAGCACATTTCGAAGTCAAAAGTGTAAAAAAACTGACGGGTTCGGAGCTCTTTTGGAAGTTGAGATGTTGGCGCGAAGCACATTTGGAAGTCAAAATGTACATAGCACACCACGTTCAGAGCACTTTTGGAAGTTCAGATGTTCAAAAAGTGTACGCCGTTGCGGCGCGCACATTTCGAAGTCAAAATGTACAAAGCACCTCAGCCCGAGAGCACTTTTGGAAGTTGCGATGTTGAAAAAGTGCACGATGTTGTGGCGCGAAGCACATTTCGAAGTCAAAAGTGAAAAAAAATCGAAGGGGTTCGGCGCAGTCGTTTTGCGTGGCAGGCACAAGGGATTCTGCACCTTGCCAAAAGTCAGCAAAACGTGAGGGTTTTGTCTTGTAGCAGTTTCAACTACAACCACCACTACGCTACACTAAGCTACACTCCATTACACTACGCTACCAGTACAAGTACAACTATGACTACAGCTACAACTACATTGCGCTACACCACACTAATTACCTTACACTAGGCTACACTCCACTCCACTACTCTACATTCAATTTCACTACACTACCCTTCACTTCACTTCACTACACTACACTACACTTACAACTACAAGTACAACTACAACCACAACTACACCTACATTACGCTATACTAGCATAAATACATTACTCTAGGGTAATTACATTGTACTACACTACAATACATTACACTTCACTAAAACCACAACAACAACAACCACAACTACAACTACAACTACATTACACTACACTAGGCGAATTTACATTACACTACAGTACACTACACTACATTTCACAACACCACACTAGACTAACTACAACTACAACTACACAACACTATACTAACTACATTGCACTACGCCACACTACGCTCCACTACACAAGACAACACTTCACTACACAACACAACACCTCACTACACTACATTACACTACACTCAACTACACTACACTACACTACACTCCACTACACCCCACTACACTCCACTACACTCCACTACACTAATTGCATTACACTACACCCAGTTACACTACACTACACTGCACTGCGCTACACTACTCTACAGTCACTACAACTACAACTACATTACATTACAGTACGCTACACTGCGCTAATTGCATTACACGACACCACACCACACTACACTACAGTAACCACAACTACAGCTACAGCTACGCTACTTTACATTACTCTACACTACACTACACTACACTACCCTACATTACATTACACTACACTCATTGCACCACCACAAACGCAACTGCAACTACACTACACTAATTTCACTACACCACAACTACACCTCCACTACTGTACACTACACCTACAACTACAGCTGCGCTACACCACACTACATCGAGCAGTTGTGGGTGAGGTGACCGACCAGGTGACCACTGCAACCATTGCAACCATTTCAAACAACTCCAACCACCTTTCAGTCCATCAGTGTATTCGCTCTGCCATCCGTGATTCACAACAACCAAACTCTCCTATAGGTTTCCTACATTTGAAACTTCCTTCACCGCCTTGTGTGGTACTACTGGTACACTATGTATACTGTATACCATAAATATCCGTAAGTAGCCATGATTGGGGGACGTTTTATTATGGTCTTACCAACACTTTACCATTTATATTCCAGCCATTTGTGGTTTTTCAAAATGGATAAAACCATGATGCCTTTTCGCAGGTGAATCTGACTCAGCGGTCTTTGGGTCGCCAGAGATGCCAGCCCAGTGGCCAAGAGATTTATTTTGTGCTGTGGTGAATCGATTTTTTGATGTTTTTTTTTAAACTGTAAATCTTAAATTTACTAAGATTTATTATTCTTCTGTTTGTTGGGGATAAGTCTAATAAGTCTTATTTTTTTTGTGTTGGGGAAATCCATTACGATTTTCGTGGGTTCTCCAATTTCATTGAGGCTCTGGCAGTTGATCAGAGGCCTTGCAAAGATAAAACATGTGGAAACGTTTGCAGCAGCGCGGGTCACAGAAAAGGATGGAATTCATTGTTCGACCCAAGATTCTAAGACGTGTGTTCAGGAGTGTCCCACACATTGGAGACTTTCGTTACAAAAGCAAACAGTTTTCCCCTTCAGCTTTCAACATCAGAGTGATTAAGAATTACCCCATCGACCGAAATTTGTTTGGGGTTTGACGGAGGACGAAGGACTTGCCACCAAGAATTGGTGACTCCTTTTCGTTGGGTTATTGACTCATGACGATACGTGGGATGAGCCTCCTACCAGTACTTGGATCATTTTGGATCATTATACTTCTTAGTAGCTGCATAGCTGTTTGATAATCATGATAGCAAAATCCTTGCTCAAGGAGATAGCTATGGATCACCCGCATTCCAATTTTGGTGGAGTTCCAAACCAGGGCTATCAGTTGCTAAGTCAGATGGTGATGAGGACCCTGCCGGTAGGCAAGTTCTTCGACAGTGTTGCAGATCTCTGCCTGAAAGCTTTCCGGTTTCCAGCTGAGCACTATTTATAACTACGATTGAACCATATACCTGTTACCTATATATGTATATTTCAGCAATGTGTGTTTTCACAATCTTGTCATATATAACCACGATTAGCCATGTACGACCTGGCCATTTGATTGCAGTAACCCGCCCTTACATAGTTTGACACGGGTATGCATGAAAATAGTGTATTTATGTCGTCCTATATCCAAACTATGTTTTCATGCTCAAGTCCCCATGATGGTTTCTGGTTGGTGGTGGTGGTTTGGAACATTTTTTATTTTTCCATGCAAATGGGAACAATAATCCCATTTGACTCACATTTTTCAGAGGGGTCGGTCGACCACCAACCAGATATATATCGTCAACCATTTTTATCCATTCACCATCCATTAACCACTATTTTCACCACTATTAACCATCATAAATATGGAAAATCACCATTTTCAATGGGTAAATCATATAAAAATGGAGGTTTCTAGCTGGGAACATCATCTATTTTCACCACCAACCAGGTTTAAGTCCCTATGTTTGATCATATTTTTCACGGTGAAGTCCCAATCTTCCACCTCACTACGTCACAACCCCGAGGTGCCCACGGAGTTACCGTCGCCCTCCAGTCCGGCGGCCATTGAGGTGGTGGATACCATTGAGGTGCCCAGAAAGCCAGGGAGATGAACAGAGGTTAATGCTTATGTTATTATAAATTGTATTAAATTATCATATATATATAATATATACATATATATATATATATACATGTATCTCTATATATATATATATATGTATATATATATGTATATATATATATATATATGTATATATACATATACACACATATATATATATATATTTTTGAGCTGACGCTCATCGTCGGCTCCGCCGGATTTCTCGACCCTCCATTTCATCGCAGTCTGGGCTTGAAAGCTATTGAGTGAGGACCTGCTTCAGAAATATATTCCTTGAGTTCTTTGGAACATATTTGTTGGAAATAGACGGTTTTGCGGGAGCAAGTGAGTTCCCGAAAGCTCCTGCGAAGGGTTTTTCCTAAAGAACTGCTGCCAATTTCAACTTGTTACTTCGTGTCTAAAGGCGCCTCTGTGCAAAGACTTCTCTGTGTAAAAGCTTTTGAGTGCAAAAGTTTCTGTGTGTAAAAGTTTCTCTGTGTAAAGACTTCTTTGTGTAAAAGTTTCCTTCTTTCATGTACATATATATATATATATATATGTACATACATACATACATATATACATATATACACATACATCTATACACATAAATACACATATACACACATATATACATATATACATACATACATATAAATACACATATGTACATACATACATACATGTATACATAAATACATTTAAACATATATACATACATATATACATATATACATACATATACACATATATACATAATTACATAAATACATGTATACATATATGCATATATACATATATACATAAATACATTTAAACATTTAAACATATTTACATATATACATGTATACATGTATACATGTAGATATATGTATATAACTATATTTACATATATACATATACATATATATATACACATAATTACGTGTATATGTATATATACATACAGATATCCATATATATATATATATGTACTTATAGATATATCCATATATAAATATATATGCACATGTAAGATCATATATTGTATCCAGTATTTTTTTTAAATAAATTATGATATAGCTTTTAATAGTGGTAACATAGCTTATTAGCCACTATCATGAAATCTATTGACATAATGATTAACCCCTATGGTAAACTAACAGTTTGCTATTGAACATGGCCATTTACTTCGTTGATTTACATATTAAAAATGGTGATTTTCCATAGTTGTGTTAGTTTACCAGAGGGTATATATATATATGTATATGTATGCACATGCTGCACATGTAAGATCATGAAAATATCATAGATCCACATATATATATATATGTCATTGATGTCTATGGTGGTCTTAAAATTTTGACCCACATGCCAATATCCAGTCATGTTCACCACAAATGGATGAACTCTCCGCATTTTCACAGTCCCAAGACTCCTATGTTGGGGGGATTTAATTTTTGACTCAACGCATTCCAATCCCCCCCTCCATCTTCCCACAGCGCCACAGGCACCCACGCGCGTGGCCGAAGAAGCCATCGCTTCGGCACAGGAGATATGGAGAGAATTTGATCAGAGTTCAGACTAAGATATATTGAAATTGCATCAAATTGCCATATTGATGCGGGGCAATCATGAAACAGTTTGTTTTGTTTTTCGGGCACCCTTGGTTTCATGCTCATGACATCACCGTTTGCAGGTCCATTTTTGTGAAGCTGGTGAATCTTCCCAAACGACAGCTTGGTTGCCTCATGCCACAACCCAGAATGAAGCCTGATAAGCCTAGTTTATTCTGGAGAAGGTACCATTTTGGTAGCACTTCATCACTTTTTGGGGCCAGGCTTGAACTGGCCGCTACTGAAAGGAAGAAAAAATAGAACGATACCATGGGTAGCAAACTTGGGGTTGGATTCCTCAGGTAGCAAACTATCACCATAGGGTACCTAGTTACAGTCCAGTAGATTTCATGAATCCAGGATTTGGATAGCTCAGCAGCCTTCGACAGTGGTCCTTTGGCGTCGCCCACGGTGCCTGGGTAAGAAGTTATGCTTGCGGAAAAGATGCGGGTTTCAACAGCAAATAGAACCTGTTGGTTGTTAAATCATGACATTTCCATTTCTCTCCAATGTCTTTTTCAATCTCTTGATTGCCCCGCATTTTTGTGGTTTTGTATGGGTCGAAAACTATGAAATTACCATATTTTGGGGAATGACCATCCACAAATCGCAGCTATGACTTAGGGTACCGTTTGGGTGGTCGTTGCATCGCCGGGACTCAGGAGTTGCCGGTGCCCACTGACCTGCCGTCACCCACGCCGGTAGGCGCGGGAGTGTCGGAGAAGGGGCGCGTGGTTTTGATGGCCCTTTCCATGGAATTTCATCGATTTCATGGGATTTCAATACATATCAACAATAGGATACGCATATATAATAATAGGAGTTAAACATCAACAATTCGATCTGGATTATAATATTATTTAGTAATAGAGAATAATAGGGATGTAGATTGATATTTCACTATTTTTTTGATGCAAAACTATAAAGAACACATAAAAAAATCATTCAGGCAAGGGACCCCCACAAGGAGCCTGTTGAGGGAAACTTACAGAATCTCTCTGCGCCTGAAGCCTTGCACCCACGCGAAGTGATGTACCAAATCCCAAGATGACTTTGGGGTTTCCCAAAACGCACGTTGCAGCAGCTGCAATGAAGGGTCGCCAGAAAAGCCGGACACACTGGGACCCTCGATCAATGCAGCCCTTAAGCGCAAGAAGCCCTGTAGGCACACTGCTTGGGGAATAAAACACAGCCAGTCCCAGATGGGATTGCGGGAACAATCCATGGTGTAGCTGGCCATGTTAGGAGATGAAGATCCAGATCCCACCATGGCTGCTCCCGGGCCAGTGCAGGCCGGTGGTAGCCCCTCGGGCAGGGTGGCAGGGGACAACTCCCAAAAAGCAGCTTTTGGCACCAAGGATAGGAAGGTTGGATGGGTCTCGGCATTGCAGACTTTGCAGGACCTCATTGAAATTTGAATTTTCACAGCTGGGTCGTGTGCCAAGGAGCCGACAGATGTGGTTGGGTCCCCAGCTGGAGCTTGATTAATATGGATGATCCCAAGCTATTTGCCAGTTATTAGGTTGGATGCACGTCCAAGTCAAGTGCTCAAGGGTTGTATCACTCTTTAGTTTGAAGACACCGAGACACCCATGTGATTTGCTGTCAGCACCATGAAATAGTGTGAACCCCAAAGAGCTTCAAATGGATTGGTTCAAAATGATTGAACCCCAAACAATATGGTTTCACACAGCAACATATCAGCTTTGTGGTTACACTAAACTCGACACACCCAAAAAGGTTGACGCATAGCGGGAAGTTTGCGCCCTCACAAGCCTCCCAGCTTGCAGGCCATTTTGATCAGAATCAAAGAATAAATGTTTAATACTACCTAAGGAGAAAACATATTGGTCACTATTGGTCTATGGTTACTGAGATTTACTGACGATGGGCTGATGGGCTGCACATTTTCTCTGAAATTGATCGGATTTTGTGTTCTTGGTTGCATAAGCCCTTTGTTCTCGGTTACACATATCCCGTTGTTATGGACAGGATCGCCCCTCACGTTGATGTGATTTCCTCTCTGTGTGTGGTATTTACAACCCAACAGTTTTGGTATTTACAAAACGCCAACCCCCATCGTTAGACAAATGGGGGTTTCCATGGTGGTACCCCCCCATAGCTGGATGGTTTATAATTATATAATGGAAATACTTCTATTTATGGATCATTAAAATGGGTGATTTGGGGATACTTCTATTTCAGGAAGCCCCCAAATGGCTCTGTGAAGAGGCCGAAAAATCTGCAGCAAAGCTGCGCCGAGGTACACACCAGCAGCATGGAGCGCACCCTAACAGCCCTAACAGCTCCCTCCCGAACACTTTCGTCCCTGAGAGAGCCGCCAGGGGTCCCAGCTTGGAGGATAGAAAGAGTCATATAGTTATAATTAGTTATAAAATGTTATAAAATTATCCTATCATACAACAGATCACCGATTGATTTGTCCTGGTAGTCCCTAGCCTTTTGGGACACCTGAAAACTTGGCACCATAAAACTTTTGCATAAGCCTACCATACTGTCTAGAGATGCATCCTACGTATCTTATAGATTTGCTACCGGTTCCTGTGTTATTACTCGTTATCTACCAATAAACTACATATATATATATATACAGTATACATATGACTTACACAGTATCCAGAGCAAAGCTATGTTAGCTATACTAATATTAGCTTCTTACATACTACACGTACTCTACTCCCTGTACTCCGTGCATGACGCTGATCCTGGGACCCTTGAGGCATGACGGGTGTGGCGGTGCCAGCATCCACGTAAACATTTCCTGAAATATGGTGCCAGGATACAAGCCATTTAGAACATGTCTCATATGCATCTACGTGTATATATATATATGTATGTAAGTACATGTATATGCACTTATAAGGATATAGGATTTATATATCTATATATACTGTACATGCACATGTTCATGCATATACAACTGTTAATCAGATGCATGCACATTCATGCATGTGTGCAGACGCTTTCCAATTGCTGAGTGGGTTTAGATTGATACTGTATGGTTTACTTGCCTACATGTGAGTCATTTTTTCAAGATTTATGATGATATTCCAGCATGATGAAGCATATGGGTTTGCGAATGTTTTGTTGATTGAGATATAGTATCCCAACAGGCCCCACCAACATTTTTATCAATGGGATACCCCACAGTACACCAGCATTACGGTCCAAAATGGCCAAATTGGAGTGTTAAGTGCGGATTTCAGTTGGTGATATGCCTAGTTTTGATGTTTAAAATCCAATTGGGTCAAGATTGTAGAGGGCTTGTTTGCTCCTTCTTATCCAACATATTGGGTGTTCCATATTGTTACTATTACTACTATTATCCATGAACTGGGAATCCCGTTCCGAAGCAGCCAGTACTTGTGGAATAGCAGCTGAGGACGTCTCCTGCAGAGTTGCCAGTACCCACACACCGGCCCTCCTCGCCCACGGAGCTTGGTTCACCGCAGGAAGAGGAGGCGAATTGAAGGGCAGGGATTCAGCTCAGTTTCGCCAACTTAAAACGGTGTGGAGGTTTTCTAAGTCAGTACCCCCAGTTCTCATCCTTTTTTGGGGGCGAATTTTCCATTGTAAACCAAGCATTTTGGGGATCTCCCACTGATGGAATCCCCCCAGGCTTTGCCGCCCATCATGGAATCGGCTCCTCTGGAATCGGCAGGCGCCGCTGTCGGAATTGACCATCCGGGCCTAGGGATTAAATCACAAGGCCCTTCTGAATGGATATGAAAAAATGGGTCAAACTTGGGGACCAATATATCTGGGTAAATTTCATCACGACCTCACTGTTCTCCCGAAGCCTGGAATCATGGTTTTTATAGGGAAATCATCCCCCAATGGCCGCAAGATTCAGATTAGTGAAATATTACAATTTACCATAATTTACCCATATATATGGTCTTTTTTTTGAAACCTATTGGAAACCCCTATGATCGACATTGATCGACCATGGTGAGAAGATTTAGGTTTGGGCTAAATCACAAACATTTGATGATTGGATCCCTATGTCTTGCTGGTTAAAACACCATTGTTGATGGTCAACAACCAATTTTTGATTGTTAAATCACCATTTTTGATGGTTCAATCACCATTGTTGTTGGGTAAATCACAATTTTTGATGGTCAAAACCAAGTTTTGATGGTTAAATCACATTTTTTGATGGTCAAAAATCAATTTTTGATTGTTAAATCACCATTTTTGTGGGGTAAATCACCATTTTTGTTGGGTAAATCATCATTTTTGATGGTTAAACAACAATTGTTGTTGGGTAAATCACAATTTTTGATGGTCAAAAACCAGTTTTTGATGGTTAAATCACAATTTTTGATAGTTAAATCACAATTTTTGTTGGGTAAATCACAATTTTTGTTGGGTAAATCACAATTTTTCTTGCTTGACATCGTTTGTTGCTCCAAACACTGAGGCATCAGCGGCGTGCCCTCCTCGCCGGATGAGGTGGCGGTACCCACGGAGTTGCCGCATGGCTGAAAATATGGTGTGGTCCAACATTTTATGGGGATATCATATATCTTCAAATAATATATATATATACATATGTATATGTGTCACACACACACATATATATATATATACACATACATACATCTTATGTACATGAATGAACGTCCTCGGAAGTAAAGATAAGTTGGTGGGCTCTCTTTTTCTGTAAAGTTTCGGCATCTCATGAGAGAGAGAGAGGCTTTAAGTTTTTGGAGTTGGTTACTCCGATTTGTGAATTTATGACAAAGGTCTTGCCGTGTCAAAAAAGAGCGAAACCAATGAAACTTTATATATATATATATACACATGTATGTAATGTTAATTCATGTTACATAAATGTTGTATATATATATATATGTATGTATCACAGTATATATATATTCTTCAGTGCACATGTTTTCTGGGGATTCATCCAGATATGACCAGTATTCAAATGAATCTATCGCTGGCCAACGTATTCCTTTGGTATAGTGTATACCAATATATCCCACTTACAAGTGGATAGTAGGTGAGTAATGGTGAGTACAATTCTGCAACTATCCCCAAACCATGCGATGGGTAAAACACAAAAGAGACATGTGATAAATGGGCTTCTGACAAGAATGTGGGGATACCCTCAAGAATTCTATTTATTATTCCGTCGTTCGTGAATTTGTCCCAAGACCACACTTCCGAAATTCGCGACCTTACTTGAACATATACTGCCGGAAAAAACCAACATTTTAAACTATGTTAAACAATCCTCTAACATCTAGACACACATTTGCGTACAATCGGAAGACTATGGGTGCCAACCTGTGTGTTCCTTTGTGTTGACATCGCCGTGACAAAAAAAAATCGCCTAGGCCTTCTCCAACGATGGAGCGAGAGGCCGAGCTGTGAATAAACCTCCATTGGGAATTGTAGGTTTTGACCCATCCCCATAGTTATAAGATGTTATAAACCAATAAACCATCCCAATCATTTGGGGATTATATGTATATATATATATACATTTACTACCCTGACTCACATTGACTGCGATGATATGATGAGAGTTCAGACTGGATTTAGGATGAACAGCATTGACCACCCAGGTGTAGGTGATATGTTCAATCGAGTCAAGGCTTTCTATCGTTGGATTGGTGAAAGAGAAAATCTACAAGAACAATGGTTTGTAAATGTGTTTAATTCTTCTTTAAACGCATTTTTCTCCATCAACCATAGGGTTTTCCTGTAGATTGTCCCTTCATCCAATTTAAGGATATTCTGGGATTGTATAGCTCTCTGATACCCTCGTAATACCCTCTTTCTTAGTAGTTCAAAGTCCTCGAGTTACCATTTGGAGCAGTGAAGACATCACATCTTGATACAAAACAAAATTCGGTGTCTGTAGAGAAATATACTGGGCTTCTTGACTTAACATCACCCAAACAGATGATTCTTGAAGATGTTCCCCCCTTTCTGGCTGGTTTATTTTGCACGGAGCATTTTACTACCCCTAATTTGAGCAGCCCGGCATATACTCTATGGTTCAGTTGTATTCAATCAATTTCATGATATCAAAGGTACGGTACGCCTTATGAAGGGTTCTGCTTTTAAGCACCTCTAAACCCAGTAGTAGGCCTCCAATTTCTATATCACATGCACCACCCAATACTACTGGCAATACTGTGGCAATTTCACATAGCTATGGAAAATAGCACATTTATAGATGAGTTATGATAATTTTACCTATTTAAATTTGCTGTTTTCTATAGCTATGTTAAATAACCAGATGGTAATTGGATGGTAAACATGGCATTGAACCTGCGCATCCGCAGCTGGATTTTGCGCCGGAGGAGGTGGACATGGGCACAGAAACTCTGCCACAAGCCTCCGCAACGGCGTGGGGCCCATGGGGTCTGTGGGGTCCCCTCTGATAAGGTCTTCCAAATTTTCACCAAAGGCAACGAATTTAGAATTAGTATTCAAAGAGGCACAGCAGTACAACCTTCACATTGATTTTTTTGGAGATTCAATTGGCTAAAACAGTCTCAATAATGGCGAATTACATCAAATTGCATCAAACTATGCAATTTTTTGCTTGGGATTTCTTCCCACCCCCTGCCCTTGGATACCCTCCAGTAACCCAACATTTTGTTATGGAAAATGGCTTATTTAGTTTGAACAATTACCTAGTATATAACTAAGTCTATGGTGACTTTTCCATTGCTGATTGAATTTACCGGAGGGTATAAGTTGGTTTCTAAAACCATGTTATCTATATATATATATATGATATGTGTATATATATATGCCATAATATATAGTTCAGCTAGTTACCACCATTTAATACTCTATGATACTCTATTTCCATATAACTTCCCCATTTACCCCCGTTTACCACAGTCAGACCCTGCAGGTTCCAACTCGCGTTTCGGAGCCCACCATCTTGGCCCCCGCGCCGTCCGGGCCGCGAAACAGCTTCCGTTGGATGAAGTTGGGGACTTGACCAACGAAAATCAGATTGACATGAAAAATCACCATTTTTAACATCTGGTTATTTAATAGGTAAACCATCTATAAATGGAATAATGATCATTTATATCACATGAGATCAGATTACCATCTGGTTATGACTCACAGTTTGCCATGGAAAGACGCACCATGCTATTAAGCTCGGTAAACCATCTATTTCTATGGGCCGTTTTCCATGGCTATGTTAAATAGCCAGAGGGTATATCCAACCAGAATGGTGTATATAATGCCTAGCTCATGGTTTCACAAAAGGTTCATGGACTTTTTTGTTGTTCAGTTTCACTCCCAAAAGATTGGATATACAAAACAATGACACATACATTTCAGGGGATTGACGCCAACAGCTGTGATGATGTTGCTTCTCCATGCATTGCATGTTTTGCGCTTTTGTCTAAGGCGGTGCCAAAATCACCTTTTGAACAACATCGATAACTTTATCCACGCGGTGAATTTTTGAACCATGTCTGAATCATATTCTTCGTAATTTACGATGTTCAAACCTTAAACTTAAACCCTTGACAAACAGCAAACCCGACCTAAAAGAACCCCAAAATGAATTAACCCAAACCAGAATAACCCACAAACCTAATTAAACCAATAAACATAACCTTCAGAAATACTGGAACAAACTCCAAATAAACCTTAAACTTAAACCAATCCTAAAGAAACCTTAAACCGACGCTAAACAAACTCTAAACGAACACCAACTAATTCCAAAAGAACAATCCCCCAATGAAACTTTGGGCGAACGTCCTCCCAGGAGGGATAGATCGATCAATTCGATTCGATTAGATTCGATTCGATTAGATTAGATAGATATTTGTGTTGAGGCTCGGAGTAGATATGATATGTACATGGTAATACTAGATAGATATAATATTTCTACACATATTCTACATATTCTATAACTCCTTTGGATTCCTTTGGTACTTTAAACATATTAAGAAAACCTCGTAGAATATCGATTCCAAGGCGGGGCAAAATTCTGATGGGAAACGGGTCGCCCGGTCGTACCCGGTCACTTTTGTTGGCTCCAGCTCCGCGGATCCGGATCTGCGATGAAGGGCCGCCCTGTGGCAGCCTTGCCGACGGAGGCCTTCTTTAGCAATGTGCCGCTGCGGATTGGGATGCGGCTATGGGTCGTTTGCTGTTGTGCGAAGAATTCTGTTTAGACATTTTAAATATGTGACTCTATATATATATATTTGATAGCGACATGTAATGAACATACACATATTTGCAGGGTATCTAACAGTAGTCGTGGAGAGGATGCCGTCATATTGTCCTTGGGTGACGGCTTCCTACCAGATCTTTGCCAAGTAGAACTGCCGCCAAGGTGCCTTACAACACATCGGAAGAACATCTCCGAGAGATCTTTAGCACTGCGGGGGAGGTGGCGAATCTGCAACTCTTCCGAAAGAATGGTGAGTCGCGAGGGTGGCTTGGCGTACTGGGCATACTGGCCACAGCTTGGTGAACGATGCTTTCGGGCTTGCAGTGAACGATTGGGTTCCCCAGAAAGGAATGGGACTGGTTTGTACGAACATATGGGATTGCTAGAGGGATGTTCATTCCATGCAACAAATCATAAGCTATGTACTGTACGTATGTATTTCGTGGGGCTAAGGGTATCAAATGCATATCTCATAGTGGCCGGGATTCTGTAAACCGTGCCTCATTTGGGGTTAATAAGGTGCATCTAAAGATCAGATCACCTACAGTCAGCATGTACCATACAAACTTTGTACCTATGGATTAAACAAAGATAAATTTGAGGAGGTAAGCCTCTTGAGAATCCCACAAACACCTGACGTGATGTCCTCTCGCTCGGGGTTTGAATACCCTGGAATCCCCGTATAGGAATGGGCTACCTTCTGAGGGCTGCAATGAAGAACAATCACTTGGATTTGGCCAAGGCTAGTTATATAATTATACAACATTAATTACATATATATATATATATAGACGTATATATCTATCTATCTATCTACAGCCTTGGTGACACAGTACTCATAGTTATAAACCCACGTTAATATTGGGAATTCTTGGGATATCTCTGGCGCTGGGCTGATCTAACTGGAAGCGTCAGACTCGTCATTGTGCTGATTGGTGGCCCATCCCCTGTTTTGAGGTCTCTGTCCAAAACCCGGAAATGACGAGAAAAGCCATGCGTGTAGAAAAGGGGCTAGCCTTTTTTGAGACAAAAAACCCATCTACCCTACGGCCCTGTTGGTGATAATGTTGGTGATATCAAGTAAAATATATCCCGTTTTTTGTATTTCGACAGTGCTCAGTGGACTGGTAGATAATCCATGCATTCAAGGCCCTATTGTGTTCAAGCCACTCATGAAAGTGCCGCTATCTATCCTATCATTTATGTTCCCTTGTAGATAATCCAAATATACATACATCACCACTGACTGTTCAGATACCATGATACATATTGTTACATGTTGAATCCTATTGATACGTATTTACACATAGATACATATTGATACATATTGAATCATATTGATAAATATTTACACGTCTTGATACATATTGATACAGATTGAAACATATGGAAACATATGGAAGCATATTGATACACATACATACACATTCACATACACGTGCGCATGCATTCATTCGATTCCATTCCATTCCATTCCATTCCATCACATCACATCACATCACATTAGTATTACATTACTGGTTGGTGCTTTGGAACATTTTTTATTTTCCCATAAAATATTGGGGATAATCCTTCCCAACTGACGAACTCATACTGTATTTTTCAAGATGGGTTGAAACTACCAACCAGATTAGTATTACAGACAAACGGACGGACGGACGGACGGACGGACAGACAGACAGACAGACAAACCGTTGTTTACCCTCTGGTAAGCTATTGAACATGGCCATAGAAATAGTGGATTTTCCCATTAAACATGGTGGATCTTTCCATAGTCATGTTAAATTACCAGAGGGTATTTACTGTGACCAGGATGGGCGTGGTCACCTTTTTAGACCCGGAGTCTGTGCAGAGGGCCGTGCAGATGTTGCGGGACGCCGAGGTCGGAGACAGGAGACTTGGCTAAGGCAGTGGCTGAATGAACTATGGTTTATGGTAGATATATGGTAGATATATGGTAGTGTGTCAAAACCGTGTACCCCTGGTGAACATCAAAATAGCTGGTAAATGGATGTTCATCCCCCTAAAAATGGTATTAATAGGTATTGATCCATACCCATATGTAGATATACTGTAGTTCATGGGGTTTATAAACCAACTGATGGGGGTTTCCATAAATGATATCAATCATACTGGTCAATAAGCCTTGATGATGAAAAAAAAGGTGGAAAATTGTTGAGATATGGCTGTGGCTGAATTCTATGGTTGATTAGGTAGATATAACTGTTATAACTATAACATACTATAACTAGTTACTGGGGGTTACAATGGTTTATAAACCAACATTTACATCACTGGGGGGGCCCCATCCTGTAGGAAGACCTGGGCTTTGTGGTGGATCCACGGAGATTTTCCACGAGAAAAACCATCCAGCGAGCTGTATGAAGATCATGTAGATATCGTTTGTTTGAGTTGCGTCTAGCTATAAACTAGCTGTTTAAAGATGTTTTTTCCGGAATTTTGGGGTAAAGATGTTGCAAGATCCGTGCAAGGGCCTTGTATGAACCTTTTTCAAGATTACTGCTTGATCTGCTGATACGCATGTGCTCCTGAACGTCAATACCTTGGTGTTGCCAGCCGGGGGTTTGTTTCAAAATTGGGGTATGCCCCAAACCCAGAGTGTGAAAATTCAAACGAGGACAAATATGATTAACCATCATGAAATGGATATGCTGGATGTTTTTCGACAAACCCATATCCCACACTTCCGATGTCGTATGCAGAATACTATATATGATTTATCTACAACGTATTCGAGATATTTGGTTCATTTTTTGAGTAAATGTTGCTTAGCATATTGTATTTGGAACACGTGCGTATGGCCAGCTAGAACCGCCCTGTGTTTTTGATGCAATGACAGATTATTTTCAAGTTGGTGTACCAGGTTCTGACCATGCTTTCGACCTAACCGTGGGGGGAATGTCTTTGATTTTTTTTTGCGGAGTCGGAGTCGTGTATGTAGCTAGGATATCAACATTTTTTTACCCGTAGGGGCCCTCAGTTTTGCAAGTTTCTTGACCGTTTTTCAAAAACACATGCCAAGTTACTAATGTACCAATTGCCAATTGGAAATTTTGTTTGCCCAATTTGACTCATACAGTTGCCGAGGAAAATGTGGGTCTCCACCCACAACCGAAGTCCTGAACTGGAACGGGGCGGTGCTGCTCCGCCAGTTCCCATGACGACGAGTTCAAAAGTTTTCTTCAGCAATGTGCCCTTCGATGTGGGTGAAGAGCAACTACAAATGCTTTTCTCCGAAGTTGCTAGGACTATCAGAAGATGGGAGGCGATGAGACCATGGGCATTGGTTGGGATGTAGGTTTGATGGAATAAAAGGGTTTCAAGTTTCAACTATTTGTTGGTGTTTTCGCCCGCATAGCAAGATGAGATTGACACATACTAGTACCCTTGTGGCAAAACGCGGCATAGGTGCTTGTTGTTGAAACTCAGCTCTGATACGGTCCTGAATATCGTGAAACTTGGGATGTCCAACATTTTTGAAAACTAGCACAGTATGCACACAGTTGTTGAGCATGTTGAGAATAGAAGGATTGTTTTAAATTGTTTTAAACCAATGTGCCAATCATCCAATCATTATATATAATTAATTATTTCCAAACCTAAAGGCAATCAGGAAGGCATCTGTCCAAATTCAGATATGTATAGAAAAAGGTTGATATGAAGGAAAAAATCAGTCAAGGTCCAAAGTTTTGGGTACCATACCACCTCTGGTTGGTGGTTTGGAATATTCTTTATTTTTTCTATATATTGGGAATAATAAGCCCACTGACTTTCATATTTTTCAGAGGGGTTGAAACCACCAACCAGCAAAGTTTTGGGTACACCAACTGATGTCATTTTTGTGTGTTTGCAGAGCATCCCGAGCCAAGGTTGGGATCGTCACAGAACTGACCCTCTTTACTGGAAAGGATGCCTGACCTGGTGGACGGGGATTGCCCCAGGTCATGTTTTTTTTTTTTGGCCAGTTTGAAGGCAGATACAATTTGCGGAAAACGATGTTTTGCCTCACCGCGTTTTCCATGTTGTACTTTTTTCTGTGATATTTTCAGCATTTGCCACACAGAAAACCTGGTTCCCAGAATTGGTTTAAGAGAAAAAATTACCGGAAACGCCAATCAATTTGTAAGCACTTTGGTTTCAACCGTAAAAAATCTCACCAATCCATTCATACCACCATCAGCGGGTGATTAAGCGGTTCTTATTAAGCTCTTTACCTTTTTGTTTTCCAAGACATATTTGGCGAAGCAGTGAAGCTGCACCATCTTCAACAAATTCGCCACAGAAAAAAAGGCTGGCGCCCTGGCCACTTTGGATTTGTGTCGATGATTTTGTTGGTTCTACTGGCAAATCCGAAATCTGGAATCGGAAGATTTCTGGTCATTTTTTTTTTTCAGGGGGAATTCGTGGTGGAAGGTTGTGGATACCCTCTAGTAAACTAACATATAACTATGGAAAATCAGGCTATTCATGGGTAAATCAACGAACCAAATGGGTCATGTTCAATAGCTTTTTTTTGTTTACCAGAGGATATTCATATTCCAACAATAATATCCCATTCATATCCAATTACCCTCTGGTAAACTAACATAACTATGGAAAATCAGCATGCTCTTCATGGATAAATCAACAATGGCCACGTTCATCATGTTCTATGTCGCAAACTGTGGCTGTGCCAGCCAGGCCGGATATTCCAAAAACATGGCCATCCCCCACATTTTTCTCCTGTGGATCGCCATTTTTCGCCAAGGAAGGGCACTCCAGAGGTATGGGACATTGCACCTTTCAGGTCCCCTCCCAGGCCGCTGCAGCCATCAAAGTGCTGCGCGACCGGGATGTGGGAGGTCGACCCATCTGGATCGCTGAGGATGTCCCCAGGGCCGAAAATGACAGGCTTTTCCATGGTTATCCCCCATAATGGAAGGATATATGATACATAATTATATACACATAATGTACATATATAATATATATATATATAATATAATATATAATATATAATATATATATAATATATATATATAATATACATATAATATATATATATATAATATAATATATATATAATATATATAATATATATAATATATATATAATATATAATATATATATTTAATATATATATATATATAATATATATAATATATATATATATAATATATATAATATATATATATAATATGTAATGTTTAATACTGTTTATATAATTTTATATAGACATTTTATATTACCTTTTTTGTTAGGTTATACCCCGACTATCTCCATCAATTCTATTGGTTCTGCCCTTTGCCAATCAAGCATGGCAATGGACAATCACCATCTTCAATTCAAATGTTGGATTTTTTATTTTCAGGTTTGATTACCAGAAAGTAAGCTGGGAGATTATCAATTTGGGTACTGGACTGTGCACCTTGCTTTCACCAAGACACTTGGGAGACTTTCTGGATGTGTAGTGACCTTAGACAAACTCACCACAAAGCATGGTGAGATGGCCTCAAAACAGCTTTGGGTTGTGGAACCTATCCATCTACGATCCTCTTGGGAGAAAGAAGGATCCCAGCAATTTTCATCACCTGAATGGATTGAAATGCTGGTTGACTGCTCCTAGGGATCCAGAGGGGCTGGTCATCTAGGCTCCCACAGCATATCCGCAGCCCAATGGGATGAACATGTCGGATATCGATGGGATATCGATATGTTGGTGCTTTGATTCACTGCGCTTGTCTGTGGACTCATATGGAACCTCTAAGGTCAAATCTTCACAGCTTCAAGCGCAAACAGTTGGAACAGTTCCCATGGTTTCCATGGTACCGGTGATTCCCCAAGTGTCCCCGGTGCCCTTTCTGGCTGCGACAATGGGAGCCCCGATTGCCTCAATTGGACACACTGGACATGTGCCGCACGCGTCCAGTGGGCGAATCTTTTTTGGCAACGTGCCATTTGCGACTTGGATGGAAAATGACTTGTCATATTATGAAGTTCTTTCTTTTGAATTGTTTTGGAATGGTTTGGCGTCTTCGAAGAGTTTAGCAAAGGTATGTTTGAAGTATTGGTCAGCGAAACAGCATGGGAATTGGAAAGCCTCTCTATTTACATATCATGTCCGTATATGTCCGTACTGTTTTTGAATATTTTTGCTATTGACATGTTGATTTTTTCGCGGGGACAGACACTTTCCACGTTGTGGTGCCCAGGATGTGACCGACGCCCAATTGGAACAGCTCTTTCGGAGCATTGGCCCCATCACTGACCTGCATCTCATGCGAACGGCAGATGGAAAATCACGAGGAATGGGTCATGTCACCTATCAGATCCATGTCTGACATTTTTGTTGGGAGGAAACTACCTTTTTTTTGGTATTTTGGGCAAAGGCGGATGACTATCAGGTGGATGCCCCTGGCGAATATGTATCTTAGTGTTGGGAAATGTCCCGGTTTGGGACATCACTTACAGATGGTAGCTTCTGAAAATCGTCAGAGATGAAATTCTGCTGTGAATGTTCCGGAATGACAAGTACTTATTTTCATTAGTTGAACCCCCATTTTCTTGTACTATAGCTTATATATGCTTAGATTATATGTTTTTCATTGGCTCTTTGCTCCCGCCATAGAGCACTCCCTTGAACTCCCTTGCTTTTATTGGGTAACATATTTATCACATGTGCCACATGTGCCATGGTCTAGCCACATGGCTGATTTTCCCAAGGGGATGGTCATGATGCGACCGAGGACTCCGGAACTGGCTGCTTTAGCCATTCAGCAGCTTCTGGATCGAGATGTTGGTGGAAGACCCATCCTGGTGAAGGACCGCGGATTGGGCCATGGGGGCTTTCCGGTAAACGTGGCCATGGCTGGCCATGGGATATCAAATCTCCGAGATGAATGGAAGTTGATAGCTGGGAACATCATCCATAACTGGTGGATTTTCCAAATCAGAAATTGAATGAATGTAGAATGTAGAATGATTTTTCGATTTGCAGCCATGGCCAGCCCTATGTTCAACTTGAATTTTCTATGATTTTCAGCTTCCCCGAGGAGGATCGTTCTACCGCGCCGCACCCGGCTGTGCCTGCTGCGCTAGTGCCCATGGGCCCAGTGCGGTCGGCGACCCCGGTGACCCGAGGGCCGCCGCCGAACGAGGCCATGGCGACGTCGAGTCGGGTCTTCTTCAGTAACTTGGTCGAGGTGGAGATCGAGATGATGGGAAAATGTGGATGCAACATTATGCAACTGTAATTATGGTTCTTTTCATGAATCATTTTGGCATACAGTGTAAGTGTATATATATATATATTTACATATATAGAGATTACGATATAGTCCAGTCAAGAGCTTAATGCAGTGTTTCAGAACTTGTCATCGAATTCATAGAAGTCATCCACGTTTCCTAGAAGTTGTACACGTTTCACGGAAGTTGTCCGCGTTTCACAAGCCCCCTTATAACGTTTGTGTTTAACTGCTGCGGAATGGAAGGCTCTCGCTGGAAGCTCTTAACGATACGATATAGACATACATATGTATTTATATAGGTGTATATATAATTATATATATATATATTAATATATACACATGTAACTATATGTATATATATATACATAATTATACATGCATATGTGTAATATACATACACATATATATATATATATACACTATATATATATATACACTATATGGAGAACTGATTCGGTCATACATATTTGGACAATTTATGGACACTGACACTGATGGTTGACATGTTAATGAATGCTGGTATAGTTGGGAAACAAGTGATTTGATGGCTTTCTAATGCCGTGTTTGATCACCAGAGGATAGTCGTAGCAGCGAAGACAGTGAAGACTGGTTATGAGCTTTGTTGTCCTCCCATGAAGTTATGTAAATAAACATCAGCCATACCTATGAGTTGTGAACCTGGCCGATAGTCTATTCACGTTTTCAACTGTTTGAATCCCCGGATAATCCTCCGCTGTTGACTGTGGCCATCGCCTCTCTTATAGCTATTGTAGCAGCTTGCCAGATTCAGTGAGTTGAAAGGAGCTCTATCTTTTGAACGACCCCCCGGCAATTTTGGGTGAACCTCCACTGGTTGCTAGCAACCTCAGTGCTAGTTGTGAACAAAGCCCACTCATACAGCATCATATAGCCATATTTGGAGTGGACGAACATCAATTTAGCAACTATTGTGGGGGTGTAAAAACCCAGGGGATTCCACAGGGACCCAGTTCGCCGACGATCGCAGGTAACGTGCCCTACACCGTCTCTGAAGCAGAGCTGCTGAGCCTCTTCAGACAGGTGGGGAGCGTACTCGACTCCCAGCTGCAACTTTGCTTACTTGTGCTAAACGTAGGGAATTTTCGGGAATGATCCGCAATAACTATCAATAATAATCCCAGCAACCCCCATTCCCATCCATTCCCCACTAAGCACCAGTAAGTTTGGAGACATCCTGTTTCACCGTCATCCGTAGAAGTTTGGGCTTCATTGGGATGATCTGATCTGGAAGTTGGGATCTTAAAACCACCGTAGTACGTGTCAACATGTGTCAAAGAATTGCGTGGATTGAACCTGTGAGTCATTGAGTTTCATGATGTTTCATGATGTTTCATGATGTTTCATGGTACCCTCTGGTAATCGTTTACATAGCTATGGAAAATCACCATTTTTGATGGGTAAATCCACTATAAATGGCCATTTTCAATAGCTATGTTAGTTTACCAGAGGGTAGTCAGACACTGCCGGGCTTTGATGATTGTTCTCAGGTTTTCATTGAAGTTGGTTAACTCGGCATTTGCCGCGCCCAGTCGACGCCAAGGAGTTGAATCTCTTCCAGAACGAACTGGGCCGTTCCCGGGGGATGGGGCATTGCCTCTTCCAATCGCCCCAAGAGGCACAGCTGGCCATCCAAGAACTGAGAGATGTGGATGTGGGCGGCAGGCCCATCTGGATTGCCGAGGACAGTCGCGGTAAGACACCCCTGTCCGGAAAGGGCGGCAAGGGCGCGGGCAAGGGGCCGATGGGGGCGATGCATCGTGCTCAGCCCTATTAGCACAACGGTG